TGGGGTTTTTAATAGCAAAAAAAGATATTTTAATCATAAAGGAAAGGTCAGAAGTGTAGTTTTTATGCTCATATCGAAATGACCTCTTTCAGAATTGCATAACCCTCCTGTAGGTGTTTTAAAACCATGAACATGAACGTTTCTGTCAGGCCCTGCGTCGTGCATGAAGCCGCTGTCATCGTGGCTTTTTTAAGTTTAAGTCCAGTTGGCACAGTTTATACAGAAGAAAAGAGGCTGAGTGCACTATGTTTCATGCATCCTTAATTTCAGCAAGCGCAGGACAGTAAACATTGCACATCCTTTAAAAGTGTTCAGATCTATAATCGCAAAATTATCTAGTGTTCAGATTGCATTGTTTTATTTTACAAGCCAAAATAATAGCTAATAATTATTTAACTCTTTCATGCCTCATTGGCTTGTATGTGGCTGTATAGAAATACTACAGCAGTGACCGTGTCCCTAATGCTGCCTAAACAAATCACGGTTAGATTTATTTCCAGCGCTACCTCTTACAGATTTTGCTTTTACTTGTTTTTCATGTGTTTTTAGTGATACACGAAAAAAATTCAAATAGACTGCAAGCAGTCCTGACCTTTGCCTGACTGCATGTGTTGTAATTGTATGAAGGTGTGGGACGTGCTGAAGGAAGAGGCCGTGTGCAACTACAGGGGTCACAAGGGCCGTCTGCTGTGTGTCCAGTGGTCCCCTGTGGACCCCGATGTGGTCTGGACAGGAGGGGATGACTTCACCGTCCAGGAATGGGCTGTATCCAAGCAGGAGCACACAAAGCCCCCAAAAGGTGAGCCCACTAACAGCACTAACTCTTGCTCGCTTTCACGATCACCACCCTAATGACAGCAAGGTCGGTAGGGAGCCATCCCAGCATGCACTGCTGTGGGGGTGGACGGGGTACAGGGCCATATCGGATTATTTCTGGGTTTCAACATTATTGAAGTTCTCGGACACACCGGAGTGCAGGAAGCCTTCCAAGTGCGGTGTGGTTTGTCCTCCTTTGGTCAGGAAAAAAGGGGATTGAGCTGGAGAAAAAGCGGACCACCCAGCCAAAACCAAAGGCCAAGAAGAAGAAGAAGCAGCCCAGCCGGAACGACAGCAGGTCCGAGGACAGCGAGGTCGTCAACGGGGAGGAGGAGGAGCGCGGCGGCTCCGCGCGGCTGCAGGAGGGGCCCGCGCACCTGGAGGAGGAGGAGGAGGAGAAGACAGAATCCCAGAGGACAGCCGCTCTTCCCAGGCCTGCAGGTATTCCCTCTGACCAGTGGGAATTTAGCCATCAGTTCCTGATTCAGTCTTGGTCAAGTCGACTAAAACGTCTATTAGATATAGTCAGATTTTCTTCACACTTTTTTTATTTAGTCAACTAAACTTTGGCTAAGTTTCACTCTTGCTTTTAGTTGGCTAAGACTGAATTAGTTTTAGTCGCGTATCAGTCATGCAGTTTAATTCAGTTATATAAAATGTGTTTTAGCTTAATTCATTTTTAGTGATTGGAATATTAAGAAAATGAAGTTTAGCCCTTTTCTAATTTATGACTCAGACTGTTCCCGGACCCCTGTCCGGTGAAACCTAGCCGCCGGAGACACGGGAGACACCTAGCCGCGGGAGACAGGAAGCGTCTCCCAGACCGGAGGGGTAGTGAAGCCCTGTGCTCTAGAGCAGATCACTTCTGGTTCCCTCCCTCCCAGTTACATCCCGATACATCCCCCAAACTTCAAACTACGTCACTTCTGTGCATTGATGGGTCGCTCTGGACATTTGCTTTCTATCAGAAACTGATTTGCAGGCAGTAAAAGTCACCCTAGAAATGTGTCTGGCACCATTTTGAAATCCCGACTGATGCTCTTTGTTTCCCTCCCGGTCTGTGATGTTGTACTGAGACATTACGAAGCCCTTTCTGTCATTTTTTTCACATTTATAGGTTCCTGTCACATTTTCGAGTACCTGAAAGTACCGCTGTAATCAGATTGGTTTATGACTTGAAAAGGTTGGAGGCTGTAAAGCAGTTCTTTCACCACCTTGCCCGTGGGTTAGAAATGGCAGGGAGATACAGGGTGTTCCGTTAGTGACGGATGGGTAACCGGTTCATTTGTTCTTGTTCCAGCTTGGTTTAAAGAATCTAGGAAGGAATTTAGTCGCCAGGAAGACAAGGCTGTGTTGGAAAAAGTACACAATGGAGGGAAGGCTTTTTCTTTTGTGAAAAGAGAGACAATTAAGGATGAGAAGAAAAGAGAAAAACAAGGTTAGTCTTTATCTGTGATAAGTCTTACCTCCCCTTCATTAATGATCTTGGCTTCTTGCTTTCACCTATGATTATAACTGTGGACCAGATGATGAAATGAAAACCTTGTCCAGGGGTATTCAATGGCTGCAATGAGTAAAAGATCTGAGGCTTTCTCCAGGCATGGGTTCCTTTTTCACAACTGGCTCGTAAATTGAGGTTTGGATTAAATCTGAGCCGCTGGCCAAGTAACAGTCTGTAATCAGGCTTCAAACAGGACAAGAGGAGACTGAAATGGCTACTCAGATGCTGGTTTGGGGGCATCCAGTCTGAGTTTTGAGTTTGGATTTGAAGAGTGTCAAACTTATTTGACTCTCGTAGAGCTGGGGGGAAGGTCATTCCATAACAAAGAAGCAGTAAAAGCACGCTCACTAAAATTTAGTCCCAGGGAGAGCGAGTATGAAGAGCTGCAACAGCGCTGGCCGATCCCACAGACTCTCCCGGCTGTCCCTCAGCTGGAGGTGGGGTCCACCGTTCTCAGCCTCCCCCGCCCCCTGCGGAGCCCAGCTCGAGTCATTGTCTCGTGCAGGTCTCCCCATCTCTCCTCCTTCTCCCATCCCTTCTCTCCGCCCTCTCCCATCCCTTCTCTCCACCCTCTCCCACCCCTTCTGCCATCCTACTCCCACCCCTTCTCTCCTCCCTCTCCCACCCCCTCTTCCCCCAGCGTCAGGTTGCGTCTCTCCTCCCTCTCACCCCCCCTGCCGCCATGTTGCCTTTCCCCCAGAGACGGCTGGCAAGAAGAGGAAGCCCCGCTCCGTCCTGCCGCTCAGCTCCGCCATGGACCACCGGCCGAAGGAGGAGCTCCACGGAGACTGCCTGGCACTGGCCGCAGTCCGGCACGGCTCAGGCAAGGGCCCGGCTGCTCCCGCGCGCACCGAGACAGGGCTGGCTGGGACGTGAGCTCGTGACACTCCAGCCGCCTGAGTCCAGTCCCGTCTCGGTCCTCTTTGTAGCTGTGGCTGCTTGAACCCGTCTGTGAGCTCAGGCCTCTGAACCCAGACAGCAGTGTTGGTTTGACCGTTTCCAGGGTAGCGGTTTTCTTGTCGTTGACTAAAGCAGCACAGAGTGCAGCAGACATTAAATTTCAAATTCTGCCCTTTTGACTATATCCCAGCTTTGCGTTGGCCTTTTTTGTTGCTTCTCCGTTGACTCAAGGTCTCTTTCCGTTCCAAAGCTGCAGCCGAAAACTGGACTTACGGTCCGCAGTCTCCCTAGGCTGATGCTTATCCCTTTGAATTAGATCAAAGAGCCACAGACTCCTCACGCTCTCAAGACTTTAATGGTGTTTATTTAAACAAAAATGAGAACGAAAACTCAAGGTCAAAGACCTGAACTTAATTCTAAATAATTAATAATTCTAAAAGCACGATCTATATTCCTTTAGTATTCGTCGTTTCTTCGATGTAGTGTTTTATAAACCCTTCCCGGTCCACTGTGAGATTGCATTCATGTGTGTCCATCGCCACGCCTGGCCTGCAGTAACCCTGGCTGGGTGGTCTCTGTCCTGTCCTCTCTGCAGCTGTGTCAGGCCGGCATGAGCCCGGAGCCGGGGACCAGATTCAGCTCGGCTTGTTTGCAGACAGAAAAGCTCTCTACAGAATGTTTGAGGAAGAAGGTGAGAAATCGGACTGAAAGCATCTTTAAGTGAATCCTTCTTTTTCACACGCTCCTGACTGTGTGAGGGCAGTTGAGATGTGACCGGCAGCTGGCCTGTTCCTTTGCCCCTCTAGAAAAGAACCACGTGGAGGCAGGTCACTGCGATGCTGCTGTCTGCCTGCTGCTCTGGAAGGGGGACATTGCTGGGGCGCTGCAGCTGGCCACTGAGAAGGGGGAGCTGACCGAGCACTTGGTCTCTGTTGCCCCAATGGGTAGGTGGTGGTCTCTTTGCTCTTTTTCTGGCAATATTTATCGTGGTGAAGCTGGAGTCCTTCCGAGTTACAGTGCGCGGTGAAAATGCTTGGGGGAATCGGTGAAACTCCGAACCGTGTGCGAAGAGCAACAGCCCTGACCTGCTGTCCACACGTGACGAAGCACCACGAGGCCCCCCGGCAGGGCCTGACGTGGACGCTGGCGTGCTGTGGGCCTGAGGGTTGTTGTGGGGGAAGCCGGGGGGCTTGGTGCGATGTTCCTTCTGACACGACGGGCCTCTGTGTATGAGCTTGAGAGTTGCTGGTGCTCCATGCCGAACCTTTCAATGGCCTTCTCTGCTCTTCCCCTAGCCGGCTACCAGGTGTGGTCGAGGACCGTGGAGGCCTTCGTGAAACAGCTGTGCTTCCAGGAGCAGTTCGTCAAGGCCGCCTCGTACCTGCTCTCCATTCAGAAAGTGTACGAGGCGGTCGACCTCCTGAAGTCCCAGCAGCTCTACAGGTTATTAGCGGAGTGTTAATCGGGAATCGCCGACTGGCTGATGGATTTGTCTCAGCTTGACTTACGCAGCTCTCCGAAGAGCTGAGGCACTGCCCCTTCACAGGAAATCCTGTGCGCCTGCCCGACTCCTCGAGGCTCCAAGGCATAGATTTGGGGTTTTAGGGGTGAATGGAGATTGCTTGTTGGCTGGGAGTCAAGGTTAGTTCTGGAAAAAGTAAAGGCGGATTTAAAATGGTTTTGGAATTCTCATTGTTGCCTGAGCGCCACAATACGCAAGAAGTGAGTGGTGAGGGAGGTGTCTTTGTCAGGCGGGGCAAGCATTGTGAGCTTTCCTGGTGTGGTGCTCGCAAAATTGCAGCTTTATCAGTTGCCTCTGTATCAGTAGCTCTGCTGTGTATATTGAGATCGCATGAGTGAACTGTAAAGAAGTGAAGGAGTTGTTCACACTTTGGAGCGTGTAGAAACTCTCCAGCCTCTCTTTGGAGTTGGGGAGAAGAGCTGAGGCATGGGTTCGGCTTTATAAATGGTTGTTTTGGTCTCGGCTGTAAAAAAAAAGTAAATAGGAAGTTTTAAAAAGATGAAAAAGATGCGGAGCACTGATTTCTGCTGACTCCCACACAGAGAAGTGCTCAGTCATACGACAGGACAGGAAGAGCAGCAGAAGGACATGTTTAATGTTTCTTTCTTCTTCAAGGGAGGCAATAGCACTGGCCAAGGCCAGGCTGCGCCCCGAAGACCCTGTTCTCAAGGATCTGTACACGGCCTGGGCCGCAGTGCTCGAGAGTGACGGCCACTACTCAACAGCCGCCAAATGGTAAGTGCAGAGCCTCCTGGTCTCTACACCCTTAACACTAGCCACCGCGACCCTGGACTGGAGCAACAGGAGTTAACCGCCTTTGCCCTTCTCCACCGGGTAGCTGCTCCTGGAATATCATCGCCAGCAAATTCATGGTTCTTAGTCATCCAACAGGTTTCTTTCACAACCGTCTTGGCAGCCAGCATATGAAAATGTGAGGATTGCATTGTGGCTTTGGTACCAGAGCGTAAATTATCATTGGAGGTAACACTGTTATCAGCACTGAATGGGACAGAGAGGGAAGGAGGGACGGATTAACGGATGTTTTAAGAAATAATGAAACCTGTCAACCTGTGATGTGTCGTTTTAACCCTCAAAATTCTGTGTTTGATGAAAACTACTAGTTTCTACTTCAGTTTAGCAAAGTGATTGAAAGAAATGTGTTTTCTTTAAAGCAGGCAGCAGATGCATTCCGAATGCCTAATAGTCATTAGGAGGAGAGGAAACGGGGGTCTGTCAGTGGCAGAACTGACAAACACAGTGGTGTCCTTTGATCTTTTAGTTACTTAGCAACAGACTCTGGCTTTGATGCTGCCAAGGTGATTGCCAAGAAGGGGGATGTAACGTCATTAAAAGTAGCTGCAGAAGTGGCCCTGATCCTGGGAGAAAACGACCTGTCACACCTGCTTTCCCTGAGATGTGCGAGGGAGCTGTTGAATTCCCAGGACTGGCTTGGAGCCCAGGAAGTGCTTAAGACCCAGGAGGGCTTACTGGTGAGTTAGGACACAAAGCGCCCGCTGGAGCTCGTGCAGAGGACTGGCTTACTAAGAAGCTCAGTAGCTCAGACGATTGAGGTGATCGGACCTGGGGAACTCATTCATTCCTTTCGCTTAACTCAGACACCAGGTTCACTGTCTCCTTGCGATCCTGCGTGCTGCCCCAGCCCCAGGCGCTGGATGCGGACGTGTTGGCCTCTGTTTTGTGCTCTGCGGCAGTACGACCTACAGCGCGTGCACATTCAGCGGGCTGGGAAGCACACCTTGACATCACGTAGAACTTCAGGCAAAGTGCAGCCCACGCAGCGCTTCAGGGAGTCTCTTAGGAATGAGGGAGACATCACCAACCTCAGGCCTTCGGGCCAATTCCTTGTGTCGGATGACCTAGGCTTTTGCACAAATACAGCGGGATCTAGCATAGATAGACGGCTTAGTTGCCACACCGGAAATCTCCCCTGGTCCGAGAGCTGGTGTCAGGCAAAACCCCGCTCGAGTCAAGTGTGGCAGGAGGATGCTTGTAGGGGTGAGGAATGGGAAGACATTGCAGGACGGTGCTGCAGTTTGAGCGTCGTCAGCTGGTCAAGGGCCAACGGGAAGTGACCGCAAAGGAGGTCAACCACCGAGATCGAACCAGTGACCCGTGCCGGGCTGAAATGCTCCGGGATCATAAGACCGCCCAGCGGCAGAGCTGAGAGAGGTACACAGGCTTTTACCATTGCAGCGTCCATCTTCATCAGCATCCTCCTCATCTCTCTGTCAGGACAGCTGGTCATGTTCTCAGTATAGTGGTCGCAGCTGGCTGAAGGGGCCTTCGCGGATCTTTGCTCCCTTTTTTGGCAGAAATAGCTCAACTATTATTCCTTCTGAAAAGTGGAATTAAATCCGATTTTGTCTGGTACTGAAAGAGAGCTGGTGTGTTTGAAAATGTGCGCTGTGCTGCAGTGTCCTGACTGCCGACTGCTCGGTCTCTCCTGGCACAGGCACACCGGTTACTGTACTGCACCAACGAGCTGCTGGTCAAGAGCCTGGCAGGGGCAGAGCTGATTAACTGGAGCAGCGCTTCCACCCACCGCTGGGCGCTCGGACCAGACGAGGCCCTTCTGAGGGGAGTGGGCAGGGTGTGGGAGAGGGAGTTCGGCGTCTCTGCCGCCGATGTGGGCAGAGTGGAGCTGCTTCACCAGCAGCTGAAGACCGTGGAGAACCCGGCCGTGACCGTGAACATCCCCACAAAACAGGTCAGCTTCTGCCGCGCCGGCGCCGGCCTGCAGAGCACTGCTCACAATCAGACAGGCACGGCTCCGGCCCTGTGACACGACAGAGGCTGCAGCCCGTGAAAGAACTACCAGGTGCCGAATTACATTAATTTTGACGTCATTATGTCCCGTCTCCTGGTACTTGTCTGAGAAAAGGTACAGGATGCTGGCTTCGAAATATCTTTGGCCGTTGTTTGACTGTAAAGGCTTTATCCATGTAGGTGTCACTTGCAGTGTTTTGCATGATGACTTGCTACAGAAATGAACACCTTTCGTTGTGTAGTTTGCCGTCTCTCGACTCTCGACCCCTCGCTGGGTCCTGCGGCCCTGACGACCGGCTCGTGTCTCCTCTCCCCCGCGCAGCTGCTGTCCCAGCTCTCCCTGGACCTGACGCTCGCCCTGCTCAGCTCCCTGGGGGGCTCCTGGGGGGCGGCACTGGAGGAGCTGCTGCAGGCAGCCTCCCGCTGCAGAGACGCAGGACACCTCCGTCTGATGAAGGAGCTCTGCGCGCGCCTCTTCCCATGCGGTAAGGGTGGCAGTAGTCTCCGCTGGTCTTCCTCCATGCCTCCGCGCGGACCAGCTGCTGGGTGAACTGAAGCTTCTGTACTTCGTGTGCTCCCAAATTATCCAAAAATCGCCTAGATTTCCAGTTTCAAATTAAAGTACACTTCGTGCAAATAGCTACAGTTTTCTAGGTCTCTATAGAAGCAGCAGCTGCTGGAGCTGAAAGAAGCTGTTAAACTGGTCTCATTAAAGCTGTAATGAGCTGACTGAATGTTTTAGGAGCTGAGTGGGTATGAAAACCTGCCGAGACACAGGCCCTTTAGTACTAGGATTGATTGGGCTCCCTGGATGTACAGACCAAACAAAGACTGGCGAGTGCCCAGCTCCCGACGTACTGTAGAAAGCCGAGCTTTTGTGGTGTGTTTCGGCGAAGACCGAATGGCAGCCTTGCGATTGAAACTGTCGAGCATGTCTTCCTTCCTTTGTTCCTGTAGGCCTTGAATCCGTCCTGCAGTTCAAGGAGAAGCTGGACTCCGGAGACCTGAAGGGCGCGGCGGCAGTCCACAGCCTGGAGGCCTTTGTGTGTTACCTGCAGCTGTACGAGTTGTGGTGGGGGAACAGTGAGCCCACTGCTCAAGCTCAAGAGGGGGCAGGCATTGCGCCCCCTGCGGCTCTCGTAGACGGCGGTGCACGTGACCATTCTGACCCGCTGAATGGCTCCGAGGGCCCGGGTGAAGTAAGCACCAGCCAGCCCCCGGACGCCGGCTCGCTCGCGGAGGCCTGCCTGTCCAAGCCCCACGCCCTGCTCCAGGCCACTCGCAGGGCCCTTGCCGACCTACAGCAGCAGCTGTCCAGCATGGTGCAGCAGCACCGCCAGGCTCAGGACGGGCCCGCGGAGGTGGAGGCCGAGGCCGAGGCTGGACCCAGCGCGGAGCAGGCGGCAGCCGGGGAACAGGGACCGAGGTCTGGCCAGCGCAAGCACAGTAGAGTGTTCTTGTACATCATGAGTGTTTAACACATCCCTAAGGACACTGCCACTGCCCTCTTGCTCTAGGGTTGGTGTGAGTTCGGCATTGGCATCGGAGAACCACAGCTTAAGAGGATACTTAGTAAACGTAGCCACTGTCCTTTCACAATCACACAGCTCCTCTCACAGGGAAACATCATTCCTGGTGTATTTTGAGTGCTAACACACTCTTCTTTGTATCTCTTTTTTTTTCACTAAGTATTATTTTCTCGTCTCATCGTAGTGAGGAGCCTGGATCTTTAATACCCTTGGTTTCTCAAATCGCCGAACAGAATCAGCGACTGGATGAGATTCCCGAGGATGTGAAGGTATTTTCAAGTATTTTTTGGGATCCTATTCCGGTGTTTTCATTCCAACAGTTTAAAAAACAATAAACCAGGAATTTCACAGTGTGACCGCAGACCGTGTTTTGATTTCAGGAGGAATGATGCCTAAAGAGAATATTATTCGTAGCCAGAGAAAATCGATTTAGTAAATGCCATTGAAGATACCCCACAGTCTTTGCTGAGGTGTGCCACAGCGCTTGGCTGCTCCCTTGCTTTAATGCTCTGTCTTCCTTTCTGCCTAATGCAAGCGCTGCTGTTGCCTCTGTCTGCTTTCAGCGCCTCCCTTTCCCGGACGTGGTGGAGTGCTGCCTTGTCCTCCTCCACATGGACCGTGCGCCTGAAGACGTGAAGGGCAGAGCTCTAGGTCTCGTGCAGCAGTACGGAAATACAGACGCCCAGAGGAAGGCCTGTCAGAAATTCTGCACAAAAAACGACGAACCTGCCGGAGAATAAAAAAAAAAACCGTACCGAGTGGTTTTTCCGATTTCATTCCAGGAATCCTGGATCCGTTTCTCCACTTTTGTTGTGAATACAGCAAGAATACCTAGATAGCAAACCGGCCTCAATTTTGTAAGCTTGTAAATAATAAACTGTTTTTTCACTATGGCAAGAAAACTTGTACGTCTTTCTTAAAGGACAAGTTTTGGCGTCGGGTTCTTCATCATAAAAGATTGTTGATGAAGTGTGAACTGTGGGCTGGTGTGATTGCATCACAAACGATAGAGCTCTTACCCCAACAGTACCTGTCCTGATTTGTCCGAAAATGCTTCCCTTAACTCCAGGTGCGTTTTGAAGGTGGCCGGGCAGCGCAGCCGGTCAAACACTACACAGGTTTAACGGGAAGCCTCAGAACCTGCCCATCAGCCTGCCTGGACACTTTTAAAGACCTTCACATCCTGCAGGTTTCAGAATCACCTCTCAGATAAGACTGGAAAACTCAGCTGCTCTTCTCATCCGCTTCACTGGCCCAGTTGTCATTAAAGCAGGAGAGCAAAGAGCAGAGCAAATGTGGGACCTGAAGTCCAGGGTTGTCTGCCCCTGACGTGCTTTATTCTCATGTGGCTCGTGTTCCACCTGGGAGACACTGTGGATAATGGTGCCCTGAGGTGCGTTTCCTGCAGTGGGTTCCCCAGGAGTCTCGATCTGCAGTATAAGCCATTGTTCCAAGGCACAGTTTTCACAATACTATACCAGCACCTTGAACATGTGGGTTTGTATGTTGAGCTAGTCTGCCTTAACAACTGAAGAAAATAGTGCCATCAGGAGGGGTTTTAACAAAAGAGGGGGGTTTGAATTATTGCCTGTACAAACAATGGAGACCAAATTCTTGCTACGGAACAGTTAAGAAAGAAGAATCAGAATAAACTACACGTTTGGTTACAATTATATTAATTCATCCCAAAAACAAATGACCTTACTCTCCACAATAGATAGCAGTTATAAAGCAGAAGAGACCAAGACATCAATCACAGGCGATTGTAAACTAGTTTCCACCACAAGTTCTCAACAGTATCGTACAGAATGTTGGCAGTGGGTCATGCAGGCTTGTGGGGCGAAGCTGGCTTCAGAGGAAAGGTGTTTTACAGGCTGGAGCTGCCATCAATCGTGCTTGTGGGTGGGAGGTGCATGTTTATAAAGGGTAGGTCTGCCCCGCCCCCAGCTAGAGGGCTGATGCAAAGATGGCGGAAGAGAGTGGAGATGGCAGAGGAACTGCAGGAGGTATCTGTGCTCCTCGTGGCACTGCGCAGACTGAGCACAGCAGCCTGACTGTGGCGGCCTACCGTCCTCCTCTCAGCAGACTGAACAAGCTGCTCCAGCCCCCAGCTGACGTGCGCAAGTCCCTCGATCCTCAGCTGCTCCCCGTTTTCGCCTCGAGCTCTGAATTCACGCCCGGATGGATCTCGCCATCCAGGAACATATGCTTCCGTCCGGTGCTGTGCTTTGCCGATGATCTCTTTTCCCTCGGATTTCCAAGCTGACAACACCTTAGCTTCAGGAACATCAGCAAGTCCAGCTTTCTTGGGTCATTGAAGCTCCTGCCAAACTCCCCAACAGCTACCTGCCGTTCCTGGTCACTGAGGTCTCCTTATGCAGCCATGCTAACCACAATAGACAATCAGGCTTGCCCAGTGTTTTTGTAAATAACCTTGAGCAGGCTGTTTATGTTAATTACATCTCCTAAATTAGCATGAGCCAGACCGGCGTGGAAACCCAAGTTTCTACAAACTAGGTGCCCTTCGTCTTACCTAAGCTTTTCCATTTTTTTCACCACTACCTGTTAATGCCGTTCTATCTCATTTTCTTCGGCTTTTCTCTGTATCTGAGCTACGCCAATATTAATAGTGTTTAGGTACATGCCATGCTTTATTGATCCTGTGGACACATACTTGTGCCACAAGATAGAAGACATGATGAAAGTTCAGATTCCTTTTGTACAAAACACTTTAATATACAACGTTTTAAAACAATAAACGATTTAAAAACAATATAAATCACACCCATCCATTGAAAGGAGCTCATTGTAAGCAACTTAAAAAAAGTTCCAGTGAATTTAAGCAACGGACGTTTCCTTTCCTAACTCCACTGATTCAGCTTAAAGTCTAAAATCTCACTGAGAAATGGTCAAACATAACGGCCTCTTTGAAATTTTACATTTAATATACATACCTTTCCAGCATAAATTTAAAATATTACAATTTCTACAAACATGATGATAAAAGTATCCAACAGTGATCCGTTTGACTTTTTTTTTTTAATACTCATAAGTCATCTTCATCACCTTTGTGAGTCAGGTCACCTTCTGTTGGCAAATTCTGTAAGGCGACCGGTCTTGAGCATTTAAAAAACGGTACCTCTCACAATTCGACAGCTCCCAGCCTCTGGTCCCACGTTTAAAAATAAATAAAAGTCTAATACATTTGGGAACTGCACCGCTGAAGTAAAAAATGGACTTCAATGCCAAATTCATAGCTAGAAAGGTCCAACGGTAGTATCGCTGAGAACTTGTATTGTAATACTTGAACTGTAAAAGACTTAACAATACAAAGGGTTTCTACATAAACCAACGTCCTTGGAGAATTCATGCCTTATATACAGAAAATCCTTTTTTGGCTGCAGAAAGATGTATATTTAACAAAAGTGTTCAATGAAATAAAAGAAGTGCGTCTGTCCGAGGCTCTGCCATGCCTTGGGTCAGTGCTTGCTGTTGGCCTCCTCCTGGGCCACACAGGCACTGCCGTTCTGGGTCTGGGACGATCCGGAACCGAGGCCGTACAGCCTCCCACAGTACTTGGCGTCGTCGATGTTGTCCTCGAAGAACAGCTGCCGGGGGAAGAGAAGGGCACGTGAGCACAGGGAGTTCCCCGCCCGCGCCCCGGGACTCCCCGGCGTGCTGGCGTGGGCTCCAGCTGAGCCGCTGGTTCGACCAGCTGCTCGACTGGGGCCTTTGCAGGGTGTTTTTCCTTCCCCATGTCAAATTCGGGGGTCGTAAATGACTTACGAAGGGCAAGTCGAAAAGGCGCGTTTTAAGGTTTTGAAAGCAAATATCATGGCAATTTTATTAGGTCAATTAAGGCTGTGCCGGGAGATGAAGATACAGTCCGTCTTCATCAAGGGTTCAATTACATACTGTGAGCTCAGAACCTGCAGAAATGGGGGGTCTCTAGAATCAGGACTGGGGGTCCCTGAGCTCGAATTGTGGTTTGTATGAGGGTAACGCTTAAAGTCACACCTGAAGGAAATGACCTTCATACTTCAAGTCTCCCACTTTTGGAGCTAACAAAACAATTATAAATGTTTTGTTAGCATAATTGCAGCTTGTGTCCTATCACAAGCTGCAAACGTGCAATTAATTAATTAAAGGGGTATTATTTCACATCCTGTGTTGATCACACTAAAAATACTGTGAACTCAGAAAGTAATTTTCTAAATGATTTCCGTGATAGTTTAGCTGGTCATCGCATTGTGGCAAGCAACATCACGGAGGCAGAAAACATTCACCTTCTTTTGAAATAAACCAAGTGGAGAATTATTAGAAATAATTCATTCCAATATAAAATAGATCACCTGAAATGCACTGGAACATCTAAACTTTTGTACTTCTGAAAATGTAAGCAAACAAATACTACCATTTCTGTGAAGGGTTAACATTTAACATACCAGAAGACACATGAGAAACATCTGGATCAGAAATTGTGCTACTGATGGCAGAATAAAAAATAAAAAATGAAAGCACTCAGATCAGATTAGGAGTTGTTTTTCACCGATACCTCTTTCATTCGAAAGAAAGCCATTCCAGTGAGCAGAGAGTCCGAGCCAGCTTGGTGCTGCCTTCCGATCCTCTTCAGCTCCAGCTGGTCAGCCACCTCCTGCAGCCCTCCCTGCAAGAGAGGACACACGCCTGAACACCTTCTACTGGACTTGATCTAGTACCCACATGGACAGGATCCATAACACCTTAGTAAGAATATCCACAGAAGTGCACAAGATGCATCTCCTATCCTATCGTAAAGGTGACACATACCATCTGAAGAACAGCAGGACACCCTAAACACGTCCTTCAAGGATCTTCAGTGCTTTAATCAATGCTTACAGCTTTGCTGCCTGATTAGACAGAAGTACCGCCGTATGGTAAGTGCACAAGGCACACGTGTGGGTCCATTTCTTCAGCCTAAATAAAACGACTGCAGTTTGCTTGCAGTGGAGCAGAACATCCCACTCCGCGTTAAGAGGAAGGAAGACAGCAAGGCAGAGACCCTTCTAACCCTCTTCTCAAATCCTTCTCCCAAACTAGGTCTTTGTTCAGCCGTTTCGCCACATTAACTACAAACTGCACTTCAGTGTGCGCTTCTAAGGGCCTTCAGCTGTCTCGCGCGGGCACCTCCAGCGGAGCTGAGCGAGGGGCTCCCGACCTTGAGGTTCTTGCAGCTCTTCATGAGGTACTTGACGTCGTAGATGGCAGGGAAGAAGAGGTTCAGGATCTGGAAGAACTCGTGCTCCTCCTCTGGCAGCCTGGCGTCGGTGAGGAGCTTCACCAGGTAGCCGAAGTCATACCCGCTGCCAACAGGAAGACCGCAAGAGTGCAAACATTCTCTTCTGAAGACACAGTCAATATTCCACACCAGCCCCTAAAGACAAAATCTACAAAAGCGCCTCAGCTAAATCCTGTGCATTCTTTTATCCTTTGATGCTCGGATAGTGCTGATTTAGCCATGTGCATCACCATGTGCAATCCGGTGTTCAGACAACTACCGCCAGGGCAGTTTCAATAACCTTCCACTCTAAACCTGTATATATTGTATCCAACTAAACAGCAAGACAAACCGGAAACGAGGCACCGGCATTGCCAGTGCTGGATCGTGTCAACGCTGCACAACCCGTTATTCCCTATATCTAAAGCTCCTCTATTAACACCTTGACAGTAATATACTATCACCTTACTCTCAGGTCTCTTACCTGTGAAAGGAGAGCCACTTGACATTTTCACACAGCACTAAGCCAGATGTCATCAGGAGTTCGGCAAAGTAAAGTGTGTCGATTCCCTCTTCCTCGTGCTTCTTAAACTGAAGCCCCGAGTTCTGCAGAAGATCTATAGAATCCTGAGAGTACATGTCCTCCCTGAAACGGCAAACCAAAGTGACTTTCGCCCACACCATCAAAGCACAGACATCAAACATGCCCACGTCAGCGCAGGAGCGTTATTAAAACCCAGGAGCTGTCGTTGGCAACACAGATCTGTTACAAAGCAATTCAAAAGAGCCCGATAGCTTTCTCGAGATGCCTAAGGATCACGTACCGCCTCCACCTGAAAAGAGCATGGAGAACGTACAACCTGAACTGGGAAAGCAGGACGCAGTTGACTAGTGATCTGGTTTTAAAAGATCTTAAATATGAGAAATTCATCAAACTGCAAAGGTTTTTCTATTATTGAAATAAGATGGTAAATTTGTGGATTTTATCTTCACTGCAGTGCAGCATTATACTGAATTTTGTATATGATGTCTCTCGTATTTTTTCTACCTCTGTTATTTCAAGCAGACCAGAGAAAATTCTTAACAGATGGGTTGATCCGGCATAAACTTTTCAGTGTAAACCGATGAGATGTTTTTTCGGGCAGACACGGCGGTGAAGCAGAGGGTTAGACAGGGCTGCGTAATGAAGAGCGCGGAGGAAGACACGGCCCGCGAGGCCCGGATCACGGCGGCGGCGTTGTCGGCGTCGGCCCGCAGGGGTTCTCACGTACGTGAGGTTGAACTTGAAGTTGAACTGCCAGGTGGTGGTCCCGGGCGGGTAGTCCCCGCTCTCGTTCATGAAGGTGAGGCCCAGCTGGATGATCTTCAGCAGGTCCACGTTGCAGCGCAGCAGCTGGTACTGGTAGTCAACGGTGCTCCTGAACTCGCCGATGGGCCGCACCACCACGCCGGGGAACTCCGTGTCCTGGGGAAGCACAGGCAGAGCACAGCTCACCCTCCCCGCACTCCCGCGTGGGGCAGCCTGCTCCCTCAGCAGGACGGAGGAGGACATGCCCTGCAGCCTCAGGGAGGTGAGGACACCACGCGGGCACCTGCTGCCCGGGCCCACCAACTAAACCAACCCAGCGGACAGTTTCAGAGTGGTCAGTGAGACACGAACTTACCCAGAAGTGTATTTAAAACTGAGAACAAGAGGCACTTTTTTTTTTAACCCAGAAGGTTCAGAGAGTCTGGGACAAGCTACCCCACCACCTGCTTGAAGATGATACTTGGGCTTTTCAAGAAAACAGCAGGGTGAGGCCCCGGGATCAATAATAACGCTACCGAACTGGCCAGTTGGGTCGTACGGCCTCCTCAATGAAATGGCGTCCCACAATGAAACAGACTTAGAACACCCATATTTAACAGGTTCTTCAGGGACTGGGGACAGAGTAACCTATAAACAACCAATACAACTGCAACTAACACCAGCTTTCCGTATGAAGACATGCTTGTCCTGCCTGCTAGCACTTTGTAAATGATGCTGTGAAATTTGAATCTTGTGAGAAAGTTGTCTGGGAGGACAGTCAGACATGGCCAGTTACAATCTGTTACCATCACCAAAGACACACCAACTAATATTTCGCTGGAACCGTTGTCCTTTCTGACAATAATTAACAACGCAGGCTTTTCCCTAAACCCAAACCCAGTAGTTACCATGGCGATGTAGTTGTAACTCTGAATAATTTGTCGGATTTTCCTCATTTCCTCTTCCACATTGCTGGCCCAAACTTCGCAGATAATCTGGCTGGTATCTGCAAGCGCGGCAGGCATGTTGCGCGGTCGGGGAAAATGACTGAAAACTCCCGGGAAACCTCTGAACCACCCAGGAAGACGGGCTCTCAGGCAAACCCTGAAACGCAGAAAGACACAGATAAAACTCGGTGTCGTCGTTCCGTTTGAAGACGAAATCAAACGGCTGCCGTCTGACCATGATACTGGTATTCAATTGGACACTGTTATCAGATACCGATTTTAAAAGAAAGTTATGACCACGTGTGGATTGTTAATTCATTCAAGAACTGCAGGCTTCTAGTTGCAAAATATCTAGGTGCTACATTTTATTGTGGAACACTGCATGTCATTTTACATCCCCCGAATGACAAAGAGACTCGTCAGATATTTTTTTAGAAACGAATAAGCCCACAAACATCAGATCTGCTTTTTTGATCCCAGCGGCTTCAGATACAGGATTTAATAGGACGCAGAAGTACCCGACTCCAGCAGAACTTTTGACATTAAGAACACACGGGTCTACTGATAAGTGACTTGCAGGAAGGAAGGGTGTTTGTAAAGCGATTTAATGTCCTTCTGAACACAAGAAGATGATGCCATTATGAAAAACAAGCCGCAGAAACAGGCAACGCGCATTAACCCCCCCGGAAACCAAAACAACCTCGGCTTTCGAGAAAAGCAACCGCAAGGGACTTGATTTTCATCTGGAGTGACGCGTCAACGCTATCACCCATCTGTTTGACGTGGAAATGCTATGTTTAATGCGGACAGAAGCAAGAACGCGTTCTGTTTTTATTCTGCGACGGCTCTCGCGTTACTTCAGGGCCGCGTAACCCCAACCTCAACCTCAACCCCAGCCGGTAGCCATCACGGCTCCGTCCGCTTCCCACAAGAGGCGAAAGGCCCGGCGCTCCTGATCATCTCAGGCGCTTCCGTGAAGTACCTGGTCAGCTCTACTTCGGTAATTCCCTCAGTTTATACTGAAGCTGCCGCTTGATCCTGGTCCCCTTGTCGAAAGCGAGCACGGCGCAGTAGTAGCTCCGCGCAGGCGCACTGACAGCCCCTCTCACCCCTGACCCGGTTACGATAGTGCGGCGCAGTCACGTGGGAGGGCGGCCTACCCGCTGCTGCAGCGAGAGAAGCGTCTGTATAGGATCCCGGGACCGAGATGTGTACTGATGGAAAAAAGAAACGCAATATTGTCTGCAATGAGAATACTGTAGTTATAGCTTATGTACTTTCACAAAAAGATGTCAATTTGATTCAAGCCCTCTGATCAGCAGTACAGCTTGTGCAGTGAGGCATTGCAACTTGCCAATCACACAAAAGTTCGTTAGGTGCACTTTTACCCAAAGGGATCCAGGTGAAACAATGCCTGATCAGGACACCTTTAAAAGGGCCTTAATTAAAAGCTTAGGTCACTGCAAGAAAAAGCCAAAACTAGTCAGTTTTCTGTGCATTCCATAATGCCTCGAATGTCACCAGAAGCAAGGGAGAGGGCCATGGGCATGCAGCAGGCAGGCCTGTCCTGTGGCAGCGTTGCCAGACACTATGGGGTAAGCCACTCCACTGTGTCCCCACTGCAGAAGGTTCAGCAGACCAGCAGGACAGATGACCGTCCAAGATCCGGTCGCCCTTGGGTGACCACACCCGAGCAGGACCGACACATCAGACTGGTCCATCTGAGAGATTGTTTCAGATCTGCCACCCGTACTGCTGCTGAAGCTGCCAGCAGACACAATGCCTGCATCAGTGACAGGACAGTGAGGCTCCAGGCTGCTGGCCTTAGAGGAAGATGAGCTGTCAGAGGCCCTCTGCTCACACCTGTACGTCACCCCGACTGGCTTGGGCCAGATAGAGGCTGCGATGGACTCGTCAGCAGTGGCATCAGGTCCTCTTCACGGATGAGTCACTCTTCAGCCCGTTCCACGCAGTGTGGAGGAGGAGGTGTTGCGTTTCTTTTTTCCATCAGTAAATATTAGGAATTAGTTCAAGGAGGGAGCTGTGTCAGCAGGTGTAGGCTACAAAGGAATGAGTACAGGTTTATTCCAGCTGAAAAGAGAAGAAAAGAAACACAACGTTTCGGCTGTGGAGCCTTCTCAACAGCTGAAACACTGACACCTGAAGAAGGAAACAAACTCTCGGGCCTTGACACCCAAGAAGGCTCCACTGCCGAAACGTTGTGTTTCTTCTTTTCAGCAAGGAACAAACCTTTACTTATTCCTATATTAGGAAATGTTTTGATCCATGAGAGCCCCAGTGCAACACGTTTTGGAGGTAAACATGAAGTCGACAAGATGCTTTGACCTCAGCAAAACAGGTGGTTTGTTAAATTTAGCATTAAGAACAAAACTGAATACTTTTCATTCTCTGGATGGAGAGAAACTCTGATTACAATGAGGGTTCTAATCCTGGAGTCCTTCTTGTTTGACAAAAGGAAGGAAAGGTTTTCTTCTGTATATTGCTAGAGCACTGGTTCCCAGCCAAGACTGTGCTTTTCATTCCGGCTGAACTCTGAATGTCCAGTGCTAATAGATGTCATAACTGATCTGCTCATTTGTTTAGATCTTTATGTTGTTCTTCGGTCAGTCCTGCTATATCAGAAATACCCCACTTCAGGGGCCCTCTGTCAGACACAGATCTTTATAACATCTGAAGTAAATGTAATTGGACACACCCACAGTGGGAATGACCCTGTAATTAGATACACCACAGTGGGAGTGACCCTGTGATTGGACACACCCACAGAGGGAGTGACCCTGTGATTGGACACACCCACAGAGAGAGTGACCCGGTAATTGGACACATGGACAGTGGGGGGGGTGGGTAGGTGAGTTGACCCTGTAATTGGACACACCCACAGAGGGAGTGACCCTGTAATTGGACACACCCACAGAGGGAGTGATCCTGTGATCGGACACACCCACAGACACGCACATACTCACACCAGGACCAGTTTTCCCAGAAGCCAATTAACCCACCACTATGTACCTGGACTGTGGGAGGAAACCAGCATAGTACTATATAAAGGCAGCTCAAACAGCTCAAACAGGATATCTTTTATTGCTTACCAATACAACATGCTCACTGATAACAGCTCAGCCTCATTACAACGCTCTTGTTGAGGGAGGGGCTGTCAAAGTCTAATAGCAGGGTGCTTGGAATATCCCTTCCATTTTATCAATTAAATAGGATTTCATTTTTATCTAACTGGTAACATTTTTACACACTTTTTACCAATTGTCTAATAAAACAATCCTTACTGCTACAATACTGTAATACAGAGCCCTGACAAATTCATGTTTATGTTTATAAACATAAATACCGTTACGTAAAAAACAATACTTTTAATATTTTAGTATTTTTTGGTTAGTTGATGGTTAAGTGCAAATGCACAGTACAGTGTATAAGAGGAGAACACTGCATAATTCTAAGAGAAGGAAGAGACAGAATAGTTAAAACCAGCTGTGATATTGTGAACATTAAATACTACGTGCTTTTCATACTGTAGCTTTACTCTAAAAATACACTTCATGTAAGAGAATTGAATTCAATACAATAAAAAAATACAACAGGACTCGTTGGCCTTAACATGTAGCTAGTTCAATACAAGTACGAACACATAACATAAATATATACAGAAGGAGCTACCAGGTTTGGCAATTTACTGTAGCCTTACACAGTGTCTCTCAGTGTCCATCAAGCAGCTCAGGAGTAGCTTCGCTACATTTTGAAAATGCATGTTTCTTGTGGTTTCAGTAAAAATATCTGAATTGCACTGCAGTCATGTTCCCTGTCTGTACCAGCTCATACTTTCCTGTGTGACAAATTTGCCAGCAGCCCCCTCTCTCCTGCTGCAACTGTTTCAATGGGCACTGCAGTCCATACTCACATCTGGATCGAGGGCGCTATACAGAGAACTGAGTCTTAATTTTAATCATGTTTAAATCCCACCAGGAGTCAAGGGGCAATGGTGGTGTATGTAGGATAACTGTACAACGAGGCGCATCATAGCGAAGCTGTACAACTGACTAATGTACACTTCAACGCTTCACAATCTACACAAAAGACAGTGTTTTGTTACTAAAAAAAAAAATGAAAGCACACTCCCAGATGAAACTTTCAAAAATATCACTTAACATTCGATCCTCAGCACTTTTTTTTAGAGAAGTGCTGAAATTATTAATATAGGAGTTAAATTTTTGAAAATAACTAAATGATTTTTAGTTTTCAAATTCACAGGTTTCCTTGGCAAACTGCACATGGAACAAACTCTTTTCCTATTTACACTAAGACTAACGAAATCAAATCTCTTACATTTTAAACAGATTATGCCGCAAAATAGTTGAATTTCAGCAATACTTTAAGTGAGAGGTGCTGATAAAAAGGACCTGCAAAAGAACTGACTAGCAACATTACTGCATTTAACAGCAACCAAATTCTACCTACTTCTAACTCCACAAAAACAAAAATTAGTTTGAATTATGTAAAGGAAAAACCTACACTTTTACCACACTGCATTTCAGATTGTGTCCTCAAGGTGTACTACAACCTACTGTAGTTAAGTAGCTCAGACTCTCTGGCACCACACACACATTACACTCAAGTAATTAATCAGGTGTGCTGCAGTAAATCATTCTGGGTACCTATGATCTGATATTGTGGTTCTGTTCATTCTCACAGGTGTCAGGCATACAGAACAGGTTTCCATCTCGCCAGGTTTATTGACTGTCGGTTTATCTTGAGCAGGATAGCAGAAACGATGGCCGGGTCAGACACACCGCGGCCCACCTCCGGCTTTGGCACAGGTGAGCTCCAAGCGCTGCTCACAGCTGTGAGGAGTTTGTACAGGTCTGGATGTGGGCGATCTCTAATACTGGCAGCAACAGCTGGAAGGCATCCTGGACATAAGACGCACTGTTGGAAGCCTGGAGGAAAATCAGTCACAGACACACTAAATAAACTACACGATCATCGTGGAGCAAAGAGAAAATATTGAAGTTTGTTTTTTTTCTGTACTCGTGATTGTACACTCTTAATTCTTTGTCCAGACAACAAATGCATTCTTGGTTTTTTTCATAATTTATTACAAGATATTTTCGAACTGACAAATCTTTAAAGTTACAATGCCTTTGTAAATTGGGGTCAACGCAACAGCAGTAGCTCGGCTTCCGGTCATATTTTCAATCCAACTGGTAAATATTAAGAATTAAAAAAGACATACTGAAAGATACCAAAATTACCTACCTCTAGAAAGACTCCTGTGATCAATGGATTGAGTACATCACCCTTTTCATTCGACTGGAAAAAAAAAAAAACTTGTATATTACTATGGCTGAAATTACAATTTCAGAAATTTTAATTTCTGAGTGTCAAATATCAATGAGTCTCAATATGATCATTATAAAATAAGTATGGGCCTTCTGCTACTTCAAATGCAACAAAGTAAACAGCACGGAATATTAATCCTAATAAAGAAAGAAAGTTGATATGTGCTGATATTTAATTATATAGCATGTTTTATGATACAGTGCTACGTGTCACCCCTTAATCAGACAGTATGTGTAACTCCAGGAATTATATACATCCCACCATCTGGGTATCAAATACAAACTGCATTAAATATACAACCTGTGACCATTATGATACACTGCTAGAATTAAAAAATTATGATCCGTAGATGTTTTCCCTCTGCACAGAATCTTCCACCACTATTGACAAGAGATAATCTTGCCAGCACTGCAGGACTGAGACTTGCAATGTTTGAAACGCGTTATTCGTTAAGTAACAATACATTTTTTAAAAGATAAAAATTCTGTCAAGAGTAATTTCGAATACAATACTGACTAGCTATCACGGGGATGACAGTGTGAGGGAGGGCAGAGAGAGGCTGAGGATGAAGAGCTCGTCTAAACACTCCTCGCTCAGATTTTGCAGTTTTCACATTAACTGTGCACTGCCTCTCACTGCCCCGCCGGATACTGTGCTACCTGACACCTGCACTCTAGGAAGAGCAAAGTCCTCTCACCCCAACGGTAGTTAAGCAAGAAGTGAACCTCCTGGAAAGCAAAGATATCTCTTTGCACAAAATCACCGTCATTCTGAAAAAGAAACATCGACACGAAAACACTTCTTATTAAAGATGCGTGTTTAAAAGCAACGTTTGTCACATTCCAAATGTTTCGCGGTATACGAGGACAACACAAAGCATAAACAGGAGAGGCTAGTTAAAACGGTGCGCTGCCTTACTGAGAGAGAGCGGAGGCCTGGCCCAGCGTCGTCGCCCCCGCGTTCTGACTGTGGAGGATGAGTTCCGCCACCTTATGGAATTGCTCTATGGATCTGGCCGTCAGCTCCGCCAGGCTCGTGATCGCAGATGTGTGGATCTCCTGCGGCGGACAAGCAACAGACCGCTGAGCTCCCGGGACGCAAAAACGTGCGCGGGGAAAAAAAAAACCTGGCCACAGACAGAACAGACAGTACGACCAATTCTGTGTCTGGATAACTGAAACCTCTCAGGTAAATCAGAAACTGAAATGACTTGCATTAAGTTTTTTTATCGCTTAAACCCTGACTAAGCAATAATGGGAGACAGGGATTGACCATTTATATATACAACATATTGTACGCACAATGTGTAACCCCCACACACACACATGCAAAAGTAACTAAACTTTAAACTTCCCAAGCTTTTATTTCTTGACTTGTAGTAGTAACAGACTGTCGTTGTCCAAGTGTTAAAGAGTCACACCTTGCCCTGGCCACAAAGCGTCAGTCTGATCTGATGGAGATCAAGTCTGGAGCTCACGGATTCAAGGAAGTCCTACACTTCTCATACTGTACCTCCACAGAACACCTTGAAATCAGTTCAGCTCCACTGGCTTCTGATGCTTCTTTCCCATCTTCCACCTGTGATCCCTCAGCAGGAACATTCAGCTCAGAGATCCGATCACAGGCACTCTTTCTGGCCTGCGGAGACATACCTACCACTTTACTTTCAAGGACAGCAAGATTTTGTCCACTACAGCTGATAAACTCAAACTGCCTTATTTAGCCATGTCATACTGCACATACTGTAAACTGTAAAGCGTAAATGTACAATCACACACAATAAAATATAAAAAGATCATTTAAGCAGTGGTTTTAAGGTTTACCTTTCCTATCAGTCTTTCTTTCCATTTATTTTTAAAAATCGCAGTTTCTTTCCAGTAGATGGCATCAAAATGCTTTTGCTTAAAAATGCTTACAGTCAGCTTGTAACTATTGATACTGTAAATGCTATATATGTTTGGCTCATAAATCACTTTAATTTTGCGTCTTAATAAATTAGATTCTAGATTGCAATTTTGAACAAACCTTTAACACTTTGATTTCACTTGTCTTGTAAGCAATTCATATTTCTGGCACAAAGCCCTGCAGGCAATAACGTGTTTTCATTTAAGAAAATCAACTGAGGTCTACTGCTCAAGCAAACTAAGTGAGCCGTGGCGAGACTGTCATCATTTTCTTTTGACTAACACTCTGGATGGGAGTAATTAATCACACAGCTCACAGAAGTGCAGAAATCATGCAGAACACAACAGTGTATAGTAACTACGCAATTAAAAGTAACATTGTTATGAGATGAGTGGGCTTCATAGGAGTGTTGCTGTATGTGTGGCTGCTGAGAAAGATTAATTTTTAAAATGAAAAATCACCCTTTGCAACAAGTGATGAGTGTGATGCATACATGTAGGTGGATATTTATTTTTGACAGGTGAATATTTGACCTTGGGTAGAATCATGTATTGAATAAAATACCAATATCAAATATTAAACTAATAATAGCCATTAGGTACAGAGAAAACAAGTCTCTGAGGGGCCAGGGTGTCATAGTCCGCCTCCCTTCTGGGAAACATGAGAGTTCAGTTACAAGACTTACTCTGCTGAGCTTGTCTGCTGTTGCTGAAATCTGCAGTTCTGCCAGGACATCTGTTAATTCCTTCACAAACTCTGTGCCATCCTCATCTGAAAACGCACAAACACTCAAACAGGTAATCCCCAGCATCTTGGAACAAAGTAATGCCTTGCAAAGGAAAATTCAAAGTGACCACAGGAGTGTTCAATCTTGTAGGTCTATGGCTCTTCACAAGCCATAGGTATTAATCAATTGCAAGACAGTTATTCTTTAAGAACAGAAGAAATGTTACAGATGAGACATGGACATTTTACCCATATAGATTGTTTGGTTTTCAGGAGCTAATTGATCCAAGGATCTCATCCAGTTGGTTCTTAAAAGAAGCCAGGGCATTAGTTTCCACAACATAGTTGGACTTCCACAATCCTTTAAAAGTAACATGTGTACATTTAATCGCATCTTCCCAAAACATTATGATATTTTGTGTCCTCTCAATAAATCGGAAGAAACCCTCTACATATCTGAACTACACCCTTTTCAGTCATGAAGACACGGCTCTAATGAGTCTCCACAGAGAGCTGGCGAAACACACGGTAACCAGTCTTCTGTGCACACTACCTTTTCTTCCATCCAAGTCCTCGTCATCAAAGTCCACTAATGAAAAGGCCTCTCTGATCTGCTCCAGCTCCTCTTTCATCTTGTGCAGCTCCTGACCAGACATCGAAGCCAGAATGGATTTCACCTGTCACAGAAAACAAGGACATTCCCAAAGTCATAATTATGCAAACTACTGTGATTAAGGAGAAATAGTTTTCCTTTCGTTCTATGGTAAAGGCTTATCACTGCCTGGACAATACCAACGCTGTGTAGCTCTCATGGACCACAAGTACTCATGTCTGACTGAACCAATTACCTTACTAGATTGGTCAAAACCCACATGTGTTCAGTCTTTAAGATTGACGATTAAAGGGTGACGAGACCTGCCGGACTAGGGATCTCCATTACCAGGGTCAGCCCTAAGTTACTCCACTAAACAACTCTAAAGGGACACAGTGATGTCTTGACAGTGTTGTAAGTTGGTTTCTGCCTCCAAAATAAAAATCGATAAACTCCTCATTTACATCAATGAAAAAAAAAACAAGTTAGAAAATTTGTTTGCTGAGAAGCTCCTCCTGTCTTTCACTGCTTGGCTCGACTTCCTGTGCCTGTGCACCTGTGCCAGGACTGTAACCTTTGTTTTGCCACATGCTGCAGCTGTGGTCATCTCCCGTCTCCTCCATGAGCTCTCATTAAGTCTGTCGTCCACTCCATCCTCCAGCGCAGTGTCCTTAAAACATCCTGCTGCTTTCCAGGACCGCCTTCAATATTTCCTCAGTATATCAATTAACCGGAATCTCATTCAAAATTCGTTATGGAGATCCACCTTTAGTTTTCACTGCCTAGATCGTTGCATTTTTGGGAGTTGAAAAGCGGGTTTCAAATGTTTTCAAGAAGCTGTAGAGGAGTTCAGAGTAGATGATGGTCACTGCCCAGGTCTGCTACCCTGACAGCTTTAGCGTCCATCAGCGAGGGTCTGCTTTTCCTGGTGACTAAAAAGTTGGTTTATTTGGTTGAAGGACCTGCCACGTACAGAGGTCAGTGTTGATTTATGATTGTCTTGTGTTGGAATATTGTGTCTCACCACATCTTGTGTAGCTATGCACGCTTCACTGCCTTCATTACTGGAACCCATGTGGTGGTCATGTCCTCAATTACAATCAGGACTGTAGGTCTTAAGATCCATCTTAACAAAACTAAACGCACGAAGCTGAAAACGCAGAACAAAAAAAAAAAAAGACCATAGCTATGAGGGAAAACTGGAGAGGATAAGCAAGTTCAGACAGCAAGCGCGTCCGTTTCATCTCTGTAAGTAGCAAAATTAAGAAAGGGTTTTCTGCAACAAGCTGCCAGACAGCAACTAGAAATCTACAATCTTCCGTGCCAAGAACAAATTAAAACTTCACAGATCCAACATCTGCTCATCCCTGTTGTATGCCTCAGAAACATAAAAAATAGAGAGAGAGAGGCAGCTCAGAGGCTTTGACGGAACATGTCTCCAGGATCCCGAGAGACAGCACTGAGCACTGAGCACGACCAGCAGAAGGATTTCCAAATGCACAAATACCAAAAACAAAATGTACAAGACAGCGATGGTTCAGACACATCCACGCCAAAAACACCCATTCAATGGGCACTAAAGTGGAAGGAGAAGGAGGCACAGAACTTGGACACAGGGAGAAGGACAGGTGAAAAGGAAAAGAAACTGACTAATAATTCAGCTTGGTTGCCCAAGACTGAGCTGAAGGGAGGTGTGTCAAAGCCTAATGCTCCAATGGGAGCTAAGAAGATTAATTAAACAAAAAAAAAATGGAAATCCTTTTAAATGAAACAAACGTGAAATGAAAAAAAAAATCAATCATTTTAAATGCGACCGTGAACATAACTTTAAAGGCATCGGACAACAGTGGCGTTCACTGTGATTACCTTGGCCTCGCTCTCTCTGGACAGAATCTCCAGAGCCTCCAGGTGAGACAGTCCTTGGAATTCATCAAACAGCATCCCGTAGTGGGCCTTCCTCACCGTGTCTGCGGACACCTGCTCAGCCGTCTGCTTCTCTTCTCTTTCCTTGGCTTCCCGTAACACCTGCAGCGCACGGGGACACGACAAAGGTCATCGCAAGCGGGAAGAGGCCGGAAGGCTGGTCTGGCCAGCTAACTGGTCCCAGGCCCTCATCCCACTGTTTCTGGATACTGTTTCGGGGTACTCCCACAACCTTTTGGGCAAAGAAGTGCCTTACGTTCTTGGTTTTAAATGCACTTACAAAAGTCAGAAGACATGCTGAGCTGTTAGAAACTCACTTGTGTGTCTCTTCCTTAAACTATTATACTTCACATTGCTTTTTATACCACAATCGTCTCCACTGCTGCCAGGTAGTAGTCCTACAAGACAATATCGTTTTCATTTTTTGTTCCTGATTAGGTGTCAGCAACACAACAAAATCACGGAAGGTCCCACACATTTTATGAGGATGCTAATATATTTTTTTTTCATAAGCAGAGAACGAAAGATAAATCCCACACCTCATCCTTCTGGATCAAGTGGTACAACTTCCTCCCAAAACACCTGTAGAGTCCCCTGGTTTTCAATCCCACCTAAGCCCCTACCTTTCTGACAGATCTGATCACTGGCTATCATCAGGCTACAGATACAAGGAGTCCATTTCATGGGTATAAACTAGTGGGATACATGGTTTCAGTGGAATTTTCACAATCACTTCAAATAAGTCACACAAAGCACACACAAAATGAGCTCACCTGGGATAATGTTGATGTTCTGCTCATCAGGCCTTTAGTTTTCTTAAACCCTGGATCGCCCTCTGCAATCACGTCCATGGTCTTTTTACCAATAAATTCTAAGGCATCCAAACCTCCACTTATCATGGTCTTCCCCTGAGAGATAAAAAAGGAAAGCAAAGTTTTTAATAAATCATTACTTAATGAATTGCTCACTGTGGTTTCAAAAGCATCATCAATGCCGATTCTCTGTAACCCTGGAATATAAAAATAGCGTTGCAGTGCCCCTTTAAGAGTTAATAAAGTTATGTTACTAAAACCATATGGAAGAGACAGTTGTGAACCAAGGTACACAGCACCACCGGGTGTTCTGCACATAGTTCCTCTGAACAAGAAGATGCCATCCTCTCCATCTAGCTTGCTATGGTCATTAGTAGCCAATTGATCTGAGGATCTCATCCACCCATTTCTCAGAAAAACAAACGAGGTATTTGCTTTATCAACATGGCCGGGTGTCTAGTGTAAAGATATCTCCGAAGAAAAGCTCGCCGTTCAGCCCCGGTACTTACAGTGCTCTGAACGACACTGGACAGAGATGAAAACATTCCTATTGCGCCTCCTATTGGGGACGTACTGTCGCTTTCCCTTGATGTGCCGGGATGCTCGCTGCTCGATGAACCTGACGTTAAAGAAAGTTCACAAAAGAAACAGCACTGATTTATATTTTAATAATGTCAGCTACACACAGATTTATCTACAGTATATAATCATATAAGCCGTTTGTTGTTTTTTAACATCTTTGGCAGCTATTCATCATCACATCATTTACAAATAATGTAAATACCGTTACCTTCTTGCCTTTCTTCCTCTTTGATCTGTGTCGACAAGTCTGTGGGGTTCGGTATCCCAAGCGACGACTCTGCTTTCTCAATAACCTGGGAGATACCTTGGCCTTTAGGAAGCCGAATATTTCAGTAAGTACAAAGTTCCCAATAACATGTTAATCGATATACATCACAGGTGGCAGAACACAAGAAATCAAGGCTAGGAGAAGTGAGAAGCCTGGTATAAGTTTACTCTTCAAGCTTGTTGTGCAAATGAAGATACGGTCACAATAAATCACTCATCACCATTTTACCTGAATACTGCAAACTAAAAAACTCAGACACACCTCTATTTGTTTTAAGTTAAAAAGAATCTTTGTCCATCATATCACAACAAGAAATGATGCTGTTTGTAGCCATTAAAGGCTACAATGTTTTTTTATAGTATGGGTATAAAGGATTCCTTTACTCAAAATATATCGCATATGGAAAACGCTCTGTACTCAGAACTGGAAGGTTGCCAGTTCAAATCCAGTAAAAAGTTTTGCCGGAAAAATGGGGGGTAAATGTTTCCTCAGATTTAGAGAAAATAAAATCTGTATCATCAACACACTCAGCAGTAATAAACCGATTAACACGTACATCTTTAGAAGTGACAAGGCACTGAAAGGTGGTCTTCCTTGGTGGGATGTACAATGAGCTGCGATGTTTTAGCTTTAATTGAAGCCACAAACCAGGCTTCTACCGTATAAACTCCCAGCGGTATTACGAAAGGTTTGAGGGGACATCACACCAGGCGGAAACTGACTCTTTTCCCAGAGGGAATAAAAGACTAATCCCCTCTCCAGAACTCACCGACAGTGGCCACAGTGGCCGTGGCTGTGGACAGAATGGACTTGCCCCAGCTGCCCCAGTAACCCCAGGCTCCTTGGGGTGCAGGAGCTCCAGACGCCTATTAGGGAACATAAAGGCAGATTCTCCAAGGTCACACAAAAGTCCCCATTGAGTCTCGGGATATAGCATTATAAATATATCGAAAAATGCACCCAACGGGATTGTTAAAGTCATGCTCCCTCCCAGTATCATCCAACACCCGGTACAGGCAGGCTGATGTGCTTATGAGCTGTGTTTTACCTGCTGGGAATTCTCATTTGCCTGCTTCTGCTCCGGGTCCTTCGGTTCAGAGGGGAGTTTGCTCTCCGGTCTTTTGCGGGTCACTCGCACCTCTGCCTTCGAGGGGTCCACATCCTCAGGAGCCGGAGAGGGCGGCTGCTGTGCGTCGCTGTTCTCTTGGATCTCGGTCTTCCCTGCAGGATCGCCGGAGCTCTTAGTTTCCGACATCCTAATGCAGGGCTGGGCTGGGCTGTCCTGGTCCAGCAGCGAGTCTGCAGGTTTTCTAGGTTTCTTCAAAGCAACAGCACCTAAAATGTTGGGAGGAGCTGTTAACTTGGTTCCGTTAAGACGATAATTGAGCTCGTTAAGAGCTGAGAGTATATAAAAACCTGAAGATACACAGGCCCTCCAGGACCATGATTGCCCACCCCTGTGCTAAAGCATGACCTGGGCTCACAGATTTCTGAAGAAACCAATTGGCTCAAATCCAATCCAAATCCAGTCTTAGCAATGCAACTGCAATAATAAAGAAGTGATAGAAAACGTTCACCCCCCCCCCCTTCACCTCTCCATGTCAAAGTGAGCTTTGTACAAGCAATTCCTCAGAAAACCTAAATAGCTGACAGATGAAAAATATTTCCCTGCACTATACAAAGTCAACAACCAACCGTTTGCACATAAAACACCTGCATATTCTGAAACTGGATTGACAGTAACGCTGACTGCACACACAGCAACTGATCAATACAAGTCAATACAGTGCCACCTCCTGCCCTGTATGGGGCAGAAGCATGGATATGCAACTGTGGACAAGAGCATACTGCCCTGCACACAGCCCTAAAGCAGATTCCCCACTGAGCCGCACAGCCTTCTCTTACTTGCAACAAATGTTTTCTCTCTGTTGATCCGCTAAGACAATAAAGTCAAGGCAAGCAGAGGAACTGTTAGAGAACGAACAGGCTTGGATAACAGCAACTCCCTGCATTAATACGGTGCATCACATGTGGAGAAGGTGCTTCGGCATCAAATTACACAGCAGGGATAACGCACTTCAGTACTTCCATCGTGGGCCTTAGAAAGACTTCAAACATCCCACTAAATTCCAGAATCGATCCTTAATTTCTTAATTTCTTAATCAGTCCTGTTGCCGCAGATCGCGTTGATCATTACAGATGAGATCCCGCAAAGACCTGCGATGGAAAAGATGAGCTCAGGCTGACCAGCCCCATGACAGCCCACTGGTGCTCGGTGAGTTCCTTGTCCACAAACTGAGCCACATCAAATGGATGATAATCTCCCTCTCTGCCCATTCTTGTTACATGAGTAATGTAACCCCTAGGCCTCGTCTTCCATTGAAAACAACAACAACAACCGCCGCACAATCACTGGAAACATCTGTTGAATGCGTCAGTGTGCAATCTGGATACGTGGCTGAGACAGCAGTGTGATGTACGATGCTGCTGGAGGACAGATTGCACCTCACAAGCACACCCTGAGCCAGAGAGGTGCACAAGCCGGCGGACTTGGACCTGTGACCTTCGGCGCTCAACGTGGAAGTTTGCTGCCTTCCCCCACAACACGAACCACGAACCGTCCACCAGAAACCACGCCTGGATTACTCTTCGCTTGCGGGTCTGTTTACCAGTAGGAAATCACGTATAAACTCGGAATGAATCACTTGAGCATCTATTTTCTGATGGCAGACGTCCCTGTACTTTGTGCGATTTCACTAAATTTGTGCTGCGGTATTTTTTTTTAACCGATAAGCTATGTCGCGGCATTTTAACAATATGCCAGTTGTCAGGTACTGTTAAATTCCGACAACAAGGTGGATGTGATCAGTCAATGACAGCTGGGCTCATACATTCACATAACACACGGTTCTCTTCTGAGCGTCATCCTTTTGCTACACAATTGCAAGCACGCCTTTACATATGGTAAAACAGACACACAAGCTGAATGATGGTGAAGTTCATTCTACATCAGGAGCGTCAATAAGTGCTCAGTGAATGCCCCCTTCCCCATCCTATTCTGACGCACTTTGCTCATTAAAGTGTTTAAATCTCGATCAGACAACAATTCAACCGCCCCCCAGCAGTGGCCCAGAGAAGGTATTGTTTATGTACCTCTGCAGCGTGTTCAGCCGGCCTGGCCACAGTTTCCCCGTCTCTAGTGTCTTTTTGCCACGTCACTGGAGTTTTGAAACGTGCCTCTTTTTTATCTCGTACTTTTTTTTTCTTCTTCACCCTTCGCAGCGACAAGCAGGAAGTGGACGACACGGGCAGTTCCGGTTCCTGTGTGCCGAACCAGGAAGTGCGGGAGCGAGGGTAATGTTTACTGAACACCGTACGTGTCTGTTTACAAAATAAAATCTCTGATATTAATGTTCTGTCTCTATGACTTGTAGTGGTCGAAAATACGCTTTGTTTTAAATAGCAGAAAACGCTCCGGTAGCTTTTTTGCTGAGGCTTGTGTAGATGTTTTTGGCCGTGGTGCTTTGATCGGCTGCGGCACAGTGTGTGGTGTTGTTATGGTTTTTGTTTTTGCATAAATATCGTGGGAAAACGAGCGTAAACCTAAAAATACCAGTATGTGTAGTTTATTTATAGTGAAGCATTTTTCGTCACCCCGATGTCTTTGAATGTTTCGCTAAACCACGCATTTTGTCTCGCAGGTTTTATCAAAGAAGACCCGCAGCCGCTCAGACCCCAGTTCCCCGGGGATTTCGTTCTGAATTTCTCAGCTGCTTTCCCCTGCATTTTGGATACGTGCGTGGCAGTTGCCCTGCGCCGACAGCCGGATATGTTGCTCGCAAGAAGGGGCCAAGCTGTATTCCTGCTTCTCTACGCGAGCTGTGCCGCCGCGCAGGGGGCGGACGGACCCCAGAGCGACCCGCCGGGGAACAGCTCCATGATTCCCGCCCACCGCCTGGCTAGCCTGCCCGCCCTCCGGGACATCGTGGTGAAGGAGGGCTCCAGCACTCTCATTGAGTGCAACGTGACGGGGAGCCATGAGGGCATCCAGTGGTACAACTCCAAGGGGCACGTCCTGGACGAGGAGGGCGGAGGTAAATCGATTGCTCGGGAATCCGAGGTCAGGGTCCAGAGGGTTGCTGATCTAACCTTGTCCTGACGCACACACACGGTTCGGGACAAGGTTAGATTACCTCGCTGCTTGACCTAGAAATGCCCGTTCGCTTACCCGCCCCGGCTTGGCAATGGTGGCATGTCCACATTTTTGGGCCTCCGGTCTTCCCAGGGTCTGTTCAACGATTTCCTTCCATGTCGTGCGGAGGAAAATGCTTGCCTGTACCGCTGCGAACAGGCCTCACAGTCCCCGGGGTCATCTCGGATGTTACCAGGGCTTTACAGTGAAGACTAATAGGCCTGCTTTAAAACTGGGGTTGTGCTTTCTTGTTGGAGTTTAGAAACACTCTCAGCGTTCCCTTTCCTTCAGCTTGAGAGGCAGTTCTGACGTTCTGTCCCATCCCCGTGTCCCAGTGACTGTAGTTAGCGCCTACAGCAGAGTGCAGTACAGAGTAGTTCTGCTGTCAGGGTTATCATAATATTGAAGGTGATATTTAAATGGGAAAAAAATGACTTTTTAGGGAATCCAGAAGCTGTATGGTCAGTCCCAAGCAACAGTTCCTTCACTTGACAGTGGCCAGCAAGTGGCATTGTAATAGAAAAGCAAGGTCATGTCGCAGCCAGATTTGAAAGCTGTAAAGTTTGCATGCAACTTATAGTTCTGTTTTTTTTTTTTTCAGGGGGGAAATGGCTCATTTTGGATAAAGGCATCTTGAACATCACCACTGTGACTTTCGAAGACCGAGGCAGGTACACATGTATAGCATCCGGCCCGTCCGGGACCTCCAACTACACCATCACCCTGCGCGTGGCGTACACGTACAGCGGCCTGGGCCTGTACTACGTCATCGTGTGCCTGGTGGCCTTCACCATCATCATGGTCCTCAACATCACCCGCCTCTGCATGGTCAGCAGCCACCTGCGCAAGACGGAGAAGGCCATCAACGAGTTCTTCAGGACGGAGGGGGCAGAGAAGCTGCAGAAGGCCTTCGAGATCGCCAAGCGCATTCCCATCATCACCTCCGCCAAGACTCTGGAGCTGGCCAAAGTCACCCAGTTCAAGACGATGGAGTTCGCCAGGCACATCGAGGAGCTGGCGCGGAGTGTCCCCCTGCCTCCCCTGATCCTGAACTGCAGGGCGTTCGTGGAGGAGATGTTTGAAGCTGTTCACCTCGAGGACCCGGGCCAGCCCAGGAAGGCGGGCAAAGAATGCCAAGCCATCGACCGATGCCCAGACGGGTGCCAGGACAGGGTCTACAGCATCGAGTCGGCGGTTCAACATGGCGGCGCGCAGGAAGCACTCCTCGGGGAAGAGGCCGTGCAGGAGCGGAGCCGGGAAGTGCAGGTGTCCATCCACAAGGAATCCAGCACCGGGGCCCAGAGCGAAGGCCTGAGAGAGAACGAGGAAGAATCGTCTCCCTCCGCGCTGGAGGCAAGCGCCTCTCAATGCGTCGTTTATGAAAGCCACATCTAACGAGGATGTGACTGCAGGTCTCGCTGGCTGCAGTCTTCTGGGCGTTGGGTGTGCTTTAGACCCACGAAGGCATTGTCAGTGCAGGCTGTAAGATCATTCCAGGGTGGAAAGAAGACTTTTAACATTCAGAGCTTGCCACAGCTCCAGGCAGAGGTGAAAACAAAACCCCAAGTGCTCCTGTGTTTTGTAGGGTTGCACCAGTTCACTACTGGTCCCCAGATCAGGATCTCCTGTCTTGGCCAGGTCTGTCCAGGACCTTATTTTCCCAGCGCATGCCTTCACAGAAAGGAGACCATCTTGAAAGTAAGATGGAATTGGCTCAATTAAAATGTTAAAAGCATAGACCTCTTTAAAACAGAGTTTAGGCCCTTGGACTGGAGCTGTTTCCCTGGAGCTTACATCAAGATATAGATTTATAAAAATACATTTGGTGCACATAATTGGTGGGACTAACTGGGTATATTCATTGCTGTTGGGTACAGAGGAACTCTTCATTACTCAAAAAAAAAATCCTTGGAGTGTAGTGGTAGTTTTGTGTTTTGTAAATCATTTCCTATTTGTTAGTGTTTCCCAGGTGATTGAAGCAGTGCTGGAATGCTGTGCAGCATTTCCTTCAAGAGAGGCTGGTGCTTTCACAATGACCAGCTACTGTTCGCTTCGGGCTGCCAGTGAAACGGCATGCAGGGGCCTGCCGGGCGGCTCAGCTGGTACAGGCACTCGCCCGGGAGCAGGTGGAGCTCTGTGATCAGGGGTTCAAGCCAGGGTCGCGTCACTGGCAAAATATGCATGGATCTTCCCCAAGCGAGGATGAACGACGGGTGCTGGTTGTGGGTGGGACTAGCCACTCAAAGAGTGACTCCCAAGCGCCGCTGTCGGTGGGGGACGCGGCCCTCCTCCAATCGGCACTCGCGCTGCGATATTGGGCGGTGCTGCCCAGGGCGTGTTCAAAGGCCCGCGCCTCCAAGGTGTCGGGCCTTTGAACTCGTTCTCCCCCCGTGCGCCGCGGTGGTGCAGCCTGGGGCTCAGGCGCCACACAAAAAAATCCGTTCTCTGCTCCGAGGGGAGTGGGTAGAACTAAAATCGTCATACGGAAGCTAAAGAAAAAAATCAAATATAAACACCACCCGCTTCTTTTCCTACTGTTGGTTTATTGCTTCCTGGGACTAAAGTCCTAAGAACTGAAGAGAAGCAAAACTGTCTGAGGGGGGCAAGCGCAGCTCTTCCCGTTTCTCCCCACTGTGTGTCAGATCTGCTCTCCGTTTCCCGGGCCTTAGGAATGGTTCTGAGCGCGGTGCTGCACGTCGCTGGAGAGGCACACGGGCTCCGGGAGCGCACCCTGCAGTCGGGAAAACTGTGCTTCTTGAAATAGAAAATAGAAATAGAAATAGAAGCCTGGAATGTCATGAGGAGAACAGGAAGGCATTCCCTCCCAGAAGGAAGTGATGTCTTTAGCATTAAACACTCGGAGCTGGATTATTAGGCCGTGATTAGAGGTTGTCCTAGACTTTAGGTAAAATAGCGTTGTGTAGGCCAGCATCAGTGCTAATCAGGGCTTATGTTCTATGATGTGGTGCTCTGTAGTCCTTAAAGTGCACTGTGGCTGCCCCGTAAGAAAAAGTGTATTTAGCTTACTTGATAATGCTTTCAGCATGTTGTTATACCTCGTCTTTGTTGTTTCTTCAAGGTCTCAAGTGTGAATTCATTATTTATTGTGAAGGACCAGCAGTGCAGTGCATAAAGCAGCAAAATTGTGATAGGTTTACACATTGATTTTCCTTTATGTAACTCTCCATTAGGTAACCTTTTGTTGTTTTGTATACAAGGAAGAGATGATGATATGAAGAAGCTTAATATTCAGCAATAACATTTTCAGGAAAGCTGTAGGATTTTTTTTGTTCTAAGTCTTTGAGTGTGGTTTAGCTCATAATGTAGTTAACGAGCTCAATTGCAGTGCTGCTCTCGTCCCAGCAGGTGGAAACCTTGTACAAAAACCTTGTATTTGCGGTGCCATTTGTTGAGCTGAAAGAGACAACTATTATTCTTTCTCATGGTTGTAAAAATAAAACATCCTGGTTTGACATGTACAGAAGCTTTATCCAAAGAGCTTTCTAAAAATGGGAGCTTGTCAGTATATTACCTTTTTTATAGCTGGGATGGATGTTAAGTATTGTAATTGCTTGCATCTGTATGGCACTTTGACAGTTTTCTGTGGAAGAGATAATTCATACAGCACTTTCAGACCCAGAGGATACCAGTGTGCATTACGAACAAAAGAGCACCCACATAAGTGACATACAGCAGGTCAGGAGGAGAACAGAAACCGCTTCAGTAAGTGAACCTCAGGTGGACAGTCCTTTGTTAATCCCCTTGTGCTTCATGAGATTTTTAAGGCCTCCGTTGAACATCTCTGTTTTTTTATAGACAAATGCATTGCTGCATTTTCACAGTATTTTGTGATTGATTAGGGGTAGTCGTATTTTTTGATAATGAGCATTAATTTTGTTTAACTTTTTTTTGGTAAATTTTTAAATAAGGCATTATGGTAAAGGCAGTTGGATCACTTAGTTTTTGTTTGTTTTACTGAAGGATAACTATATTAGGGCATTAAGGAATATCTGATTTGTTTCTGTCCAGGGAATAGATTAAAAATGTTACATTTAATCCAGAACCACGTATGTCCTCACTTCACCGAATGGTCTTAATGCTGTTCCAGCATTTGGGACGTTTACCATCTCCAAAAGCTGTAAAATCTCTCCCTGAATGTCCCATTAAAAAAAATGAAGTGTGTAATGTTTAATAACCTTTTTTCCCAGGAATCCATTTTCTCTCTGCAAGTTCTGCAGAAACTGAGAACAATATCTGTTTGTCATTCAAAGAGGGCCTCTGTATTTGTTTTCTCTCATCAGTGTGTTTGCCTCACTTAACCAGTGCTGGAGGGGGGAAAAAAAGATCCTTTAAAGTTTTTTAGCACTTACAGACTCTTCTCTTTGTATCTGTGATTTTTGCCTTATCTGCGGCTTTGAAGTAATTATACGACCCGTTTGCAAAATATTGGCGAATGACTTTGAAACAACTGCAGTGTAAGAGATTGCATTTTTTTTTTTCAGATTTAACATAAAATGCAGGGGAAATCATTTGATGCGCTGTGATTTTGTTACTCTGAATTATTATTATGTTTTCAAAGAAAGGGCCCACTGTGCCATGGCAAATTTGTGGTTGCCATAGAAACACTGTTGCTCGGTCACTATTCTGTTCCTGATGCGCTGTAATTGTTACTAATGTTCTAATAATCATGGTGCCATACCTGACGTAAAAGTGAAGCACTCTAGCTTGTTCTGAAAGCGCTCAGGTTTGTTGTTATGCGGACTGAATTGTCCTGTTGTCGTGGTCATGAACTCATAGTATATTAGCAACAGCACTGAGGCTCACTGACCCCATCCTGCAGAATGTTGCCAGTTTACGTTTGTTCTGCATGGGAGCTGAAATTCTGTTAGGAGGTTTAATTCAGTGACATTATACTATAATTACCATATAAAGGGTTTGCATTACAAATGCTAAATCCCATACTTCAACAGTGTGCCTCAGATGACTTTGCAAGAGTCAGTGTGACTCAAAGAGCAGACTTCTCTCTGCACTCTTTCAGGTCAAGCGTTGTGCGGCTATAATAATGGAACATGGGTTGTGAAAGTAAACCACAAGTTTGGAAGCTATTTACCAGCATGCTTTTAGGCTTTTTAAATGCTTTGGGTAAAGCAGGATATAATGTGAATGTGCAGTGGAACAAGAATGTGGCCCAATTTGTAACTTGTGTTTTACCATTAATTCCTTTCGCACGAATCAGTTTGAGTGAAGGAGTGCCTAGGACCTTTTGACACGCACTGAAATCCCCGAGATCTGCAGTCGAGTTATTTTTAATCACTATGCAGCTCTGGCCTGGAAAGACGCGCCCCTCATTGTTGATCCTGCACGAACACACGCGTCCTTGCTTGCATTTGTGTTCGGCGATAAACAAATTGAGTCTCTGAAAGCACTGCCATGTTCCAGATTACAGACTTTTTTCAGATTTAAAAAATAAAATGCAAGGGAAATCCTTCGATTTTAGGATTTTTGTTATTAAATGGGTTCTTCTGGATTATAACACAGTTTGGATAAGTAAAAGCTCCTTATTTGGTTAAAAAGCATCATATGACTATCTGTGTAGAGTGTGAAATAGAGTATATATACAAGACTATATTCTTACTTAAAAAAAGATAGCCTAGAGCTGCTAATGCTTTCAGAATTAAGCAGTTCCCAACACTGTGCAATGGACTTTGGGTAAGGTCATACATTATACAGATATTGAACGGGTTATGAGGGTTTAGAAGAGAGTCCTTCCTTGAAACACTATGGAATATTGCATCTAAATGTTTTATCCAAGAGCTCTATATTTCTTACTTTTCTTCACTCCTGTGTAGTGGTATATTATTTAGTGTATCCATATTGCCAAACTCTGTTTTCCAGGGAAATATGTGAATAGCAACTTAACATGTGCAGCCTTTTTGTTGTCTGTATAGGGAAGTGATCGTCTGCTGTTATTGTAACTACTTAGTGTGTTTATTGTTCTGAACCTTGGTGCTGTGTACTGTAAGCGTAATGTTCACTTGAATGTCCTTCAGGGTCTTCTTCAATAAAACCTGAATATTTTTGGAACCAAGAAAACGTATTTGCATGATTCGCGTAACGCTAAAATACAGGACTTTGAGAAAGGGCTTCATGTGGTGGTCGTTTGTAAAACTTTTGTTTTCTTGGACATTTAGTTTGGAAGGCCTTTCTTCTCACATAAATACTTTTTTGATGGGCACTCCATACACTTTTTGCCAGCAGTGATCGGAGATTCTGCATTTCTGTAACTAGCAGTTCTTCTGCGCAGCCCTTTACTCTGGATATTAATCTGGCAGATTTTCGATGGCCTGTGGGTTACTGCTGTGTTTGGGAGGAGCTTCCACCAGCAAAAGAATTCCCGGGGGCTACACATCTGGGGAATGCGGCAGCCACACCCAGGCAGGAACAGAGGATCCCTCGTGACAAATCGTCAGTAAAGTTTGCAGAGATCAGAGATCCACCAGCGCTCAGCGTTGCTCTCCGTTTGAGCGTTCCGATTCCCGCTGGAATGGGTGAGAAGTTTCCTTGAGTGGAAGTCTGAGGAGGGGCAGAAACTTCTCTCTCTTAGCTATTCCACTTGACATGCAGGGAAATACAGCTCAGGGACCAGAACGAGTGAAAAGTGTCAGAGTAATGGGCTATTTGCATAACATTGCTCTTATTATTCAGGAGAACAGCATGACTGACAGGCCATCGTTAGAGGGAGTCCTATTTGTAGCACCTCAAGTAAAGACAGACATCATTCTTCCTTATATAAAATTATAATATATCTTCCATCTTTCTGGGGTTTTAACCATTAATACCCAGCACTGTATATCTAATTTTGTCTACAGATAGCTTTTATAGATAGGTGCTCAAGCTTAAGAAAATCTTCATTTTCCTTTTGCAACTGCGTGTTTATTAGTTTATTATAATTACACTAACCTGCCCAGAACAATGGGTGTTGTACAAGCACACCATGAGAAATTCTCATTCATTAAGTCCATTGATTTGCTTGGAAGTCATCAATGCAGTTATTTCCCCCTAGAATCAAAATTGGTACTTTTTCTTGTTTTTTTTTAATACTTTGCCCAAGTTCATTTGGTCTGATTAAATCATTCCGGCCGATTCTTCAGATGTACTCTGACTGGTAAGTGTGCTATTACCCCCTTTTTATAACTTAAAAACTTGTCAATAACCTTACATGTAATATAAGTGAGACTTATGGGTCTATAATCTCTTGTGTAATTAATCTTGAGAGCCTCTAGTACCTGAAACACTTCTGCCTTTTCTATGTTAATTGTCTAATAAAGGACTTTGGCCCTCTGCTGCCTGAGGCATGTCCTTGACTTGTTCCTTGGTGAACCCCAGAGTGAAATTCTCATTTTAGTTCATCAGCCATTTTCTTTTTGCTGCTTAGAAGTTTGCCGTTATTGCCTCAGATATGTTTTAATTAATATTTAATAGTACTTTAAATATTGAGTACCGTCGTACCGAGGAAAAAAAAACGTTTATTTGGCCTCCGTGGCAATAATCCTTCCTGCCCTCTCTGCTGTCCTTTCTGACATGCTTCTTAAGCCCATGCTTGTAATTCTTCAGCGGGACGGAGGTCAGGTTTGGGGACTCGGACAGAAGGGCCTTGACAGTGACTTACCCAGCATGCCCCTCTCGCTTAGCTGCTGTTAACTGCCTCTTCCCAGGATTCAACCATAAAGCGAAGCTGTCATGTCGTAATGGAAAATGTCATGTTGAGCCGTAATGGCTTGAAAGGCTGATAGACAGTCTAGATCCGCTGAAGAGCGGGTAATTACATGTACCTCCTATACAGCGCACGGGCACTCCATCAGAGATTTGGGCAATTGATTGTATGCTCATTATCTGACTGGAGTCTGTGGAAATTTATGGCCACCATGACACCAGCTCCACTGCTCCTGAATTCGTTCAAGGGTTTGTCATCATTTTGCCAAGGAAATCTTTCACGATCTTTCGGCTCCGGGCACAGGTCTGATTATGCTGTACATTAAAGCCCGCTGCCTGCTACAAGACACCCAGACCTTAGCAAAGGGAAGAATAGTTTAGCTCCATCAACTCTTAAAGTGTGGTTCTGAAAGTGTCATCTTTTTTTTTAAGTGCTTTTCACTCCTGCCATGTGCTCAGATTCCAGCCTCAATCTCTTGATTGACAAATAACCATCGAACAGAGGAAAGTGGAAGACGTGTCTTTATCATTTTTTTTAGCTGAATTTTCTTATTTTGTTGTATTATATCCTTACTGTGTGATATTTATTGTATACATTGCAGTTATTTAGTTACTTAGCAGCAATCTTGGCTCAAGGCCACACCACAGCTCAGGTTTGAGCCAAAATGCTGGCTTTGCGAAGAAGCCTCTCACTCTGCCACACCTACCATTTCTAAACACTTGTTCACTGTCATCTAGGATGCTAGTCTTATAAGAAAGGATTAGGAAATGATCAAGATAAATAGAGAAAATACTATATAGTTGAACTGAAGCCCCCGGTGACCTGCAGTGCCTGATGTGAGCTATTTCCAATCTCACTCTTGGGGTTTTTTTGGGAGGGAGAGGGTATAAAGCAGGTATGTGCACCTCTTGTCCTTCACACCTGCACAGTCCCTGGTTTTCATTTTCCCCAAACTCTCGAGAACCCAAAGGAAGTTATGTTCTGAGCAAAAGAAAGTGAGTGCTCTTTCCAGATTGTAAGTAGGTGGTGGAGGACTCCAACGGAGGCTGCTACTGCTCCAAAAAAGTCTGCTGTGAGATGTTTCCTGCCTTAGTATGCTAGTTTCTACGTTTTCCTGGTGCGTAAGCTGAAAAACAAATACCAGCGCTTCCTTCATCAGCTGTCTCATTCCTTTTCATTGATCTCCCTTGAAAGAACAAACACTGGACTTATTACATCTTTCTGAAAGTTCTGTATAAGCTATCAGTATTTGCTGTTGACATGAGTCACAGTGGATTGTCACCCACACAATGCCATTTAATATTGGAGTGAGTCTATAAATAAACCTTCTAACTCTTTAGTGTGAATCAGACAAAAAACTGAACAGAGCTTGGCTTTATTTTCAGGGGTCTTCATCTTTTCTGCCTGGCCATTTCAAGAAATGCATCCGACTTAAATGAAAAATCCAACTGAAGCCTATAACTATTATAAAAAAAAAGTGTTATTATGTATGAAATACTAAATGGAGAACTGTGTGTACACAGATTATCCATCATTTCCAAAAAGCAGGTCCATTATCAGTGTTTTGATCTTACGCTTTTCTAAACCAGGGAGTGGGGATGAGAAAAAGTTTATTTTGTTGTGGGGAGCCCCTAGACACTCTGTGGGGGCTGCAATATCGAGAGTTAAGCAACAAGAAGGTCTGAGTCAAGGACCTAAACACAAAGTTTTGTGGTTGAATGACAGTTGAGTTCCTGACGGATTAGCTGATGGACTGGCAGATAAATCACTTTTACATTTCTGGCAGACTTCTATGTAAGAGAAGCCAGCACGGTGGAAAGGCATCATTCTTGAAAGGAGCCGAGATCCTGGCTTTGTCAGCATGGCTGGGTGTCCGCACATGACCCCTCGGGTAAAGAGACGCCTCCTGATCCCTGCTCTGCGTTTGCCTCCCCTGAGTTTCTACTTGTTTCCCCTGTTTCATTTTTCACTACAGAGAAACTGGAAGTTAGAAGAAGAATAACGATGAGATGCTTAAGGGAAAAGCTGCAGTATTTTATGTTTATGCCCCTTGCAGCTCCAAAAGAGACTTGTTCTCCAAGAAAGCGTAACGTTATATATTTCAGTTCTTTATCCATTTACACCAGACTACAATTCAAATTCATTTGCTTAGAAAATACAAAAAGTCTGAATGGGTTAAGGTGTCAAATAACTACAAATAGCCTAGGACACGCAAGAAGCTCTTCCACAATGAGGTGAATTCACTTATTTTTCAATTTCCTATAGCCAAAGGTTTTGCATTGTTAATTCTCTGACAAGCATTTGTGGATATCATTCCTTAATGTCATGCTTCCCCTTAATAGTTTCGAAGTAAAATTTCACACCGCAGCAGATAAGCTAACAAGATCCAATTAATGTTGCGATCTTCATAAGATAATGACTACTGTTCTAAATGAGACAACAAGCCCACAGGCACATTACAATGATGCTGAACCAGTCTGCATTATCCCATGGTAATGCTCCCAATTTAAAGATGAACTTTCTTTAGTTTTAATGGCTTGTTAGGTTTATATTTCTGTACAGTAGAAATGAATCATGCATGCTAGCAATTAAAAACTTGAAATATTGATTAGCACCAGCCACCTACAGTTTGTTAATAGAGATGGAAAAAGGGCCAAGATCACTCTTCATTATGAGGAAAATGCAGTAACAAATAAACACGGGTTCATATCAATGAGCACACACAGGGCCCTTTAAAGAAGCTGGAAAACACAGACACTGATTTTGCTCTTCTTAACTGATTCCAGAAAGCCATGCTGCTCCCCTTCAGAGTTCAGATCCATCACGCCGGAGACTGGCAGTGACGTGCTTCCTCTCTGTAGAGCGCAGGGTAACTTGTCTGCTTCCCTGCCCACAGTAATAACAGACTGCTCAAGTGCAAGACTTTGTCAGTGTGAAATGACTCATGTCTTGTTTTAACATGCTTAAGAAAACATTGGTATTTTCCTGATTTGTCTAAATCACACTTACAAGCCCATGATAAGTACCAGCTTTTAACAAGGGAAGATACATTAGGGCCTGCACACAGTACAAGGTGATACAGAATACCCTAGAGTTTCAGGGATGGCTCTGTTTTCCCTTAGTCTTGTACTCCATATTCTGCAGGGTACTGTACTTACTAGTCTGCTCCTTTACAAAATAATTATAATAAGTTCAGCTCAGCCTCTTTCCGTTCAGGACTGGGTGACACTACCTAAGCATACGCCAAGACATATAACTTAAAATCAAAGACAGCATGGAAGAACTGGATGGGCAATCCTGCCCAAGCAGAAAATAAGGCCACACTTGAATTAATGACGGCTGGATTCAGATTTGAGAGGACATAATATCTAACGAACACGGGGAGAACATACAAACTCCACTCAGACAGCACCCCAGGAATTGAGCCCAGCACTGTGAGGCGGTGCCCATCCCTTTCTGCTTTGCTTGATTTCTCTCGCATGCTGAAAGGAAAATTAATATTGTTGTAGCAGTTAGACTTCTTGTAAAATACTTGAGCTTAAAAACATGTGTTGTGCTCATGTTTGTTTTAATCCTTTCAGTCTGGATTGTTCATTTAGCTGTTTAAATCCCATACGCCCCCAGCCTGTAAAATTTAGATTAACTGTGTAAAATTCAAATATGTTCTACTATATATATATTTAAGTCCATAAAGAAAACGAAATTCAGAAAGCAGGCCAAGAAGCCTGTTGAAGCTCATTGCCTTCTGATACACTGGTATGCTATCACATTTCTTCAAGCTGAGATCTCTGCCCACACAATGTGACGCCATCCTATAGTGGGAATTCTTTATGTGAAAAATGTATTTTCTACTATGTTCTGCTATTTGTGCTATTCTTCTATCTACCGTTGGTAAGAAATTAGATTTAAACTCTTCCAGTAATGTCTGGATGTTCTCCTTGCTGAACATAAATGAGTTACAGTTTCTGCAGTGGCTGGAGCCAATCATGTTTTTGAAATCCTCGATCAAATACCCACCTATATATATCACTGAGAATGAAAGGATTACTGTATGTTTCTTGGGTGTCATTGTAACTCATCTCCTTAAGCCCTGGAATGAGTCTTGTTGCTCTTCTCAGAACTCTCTGTAATGTCATCTGTGGTATCATTCCAGTCCTTCTTAATAGTGCTTTTAAATGAAGTGTTGCGTTTAATTCCCCCCAAAATTAAAACCTTGCACTGAGAGCAGTGCTCCAAATCACTGTGTCCTGCTGTTACAGCCCAGAAGCGATTACAGTCTCTGGAGCTGCCCCAGATCGCAGCGGAGGAGTTATACAAGAGTCATTGTTAAATAAGGGTGAAGCCTGTGGTCTGCACATCAGCAGCTGCAGTCAGGAGCCTCTGTTGTACCGGGGAAATGAGGCTGCTGCATTCACAAATACGTTAAACAAACAGGAGGCATCTGTTGGTATCAGAGCATGAAAGATAACTTGTTTCAGCCACGTAATAGCATGGAGATGGAACAAATACCCCCAAAATAATTAGTTTAATCTCTAAAAACCTAAAATATTCTGGTCTGCGCAGAGAAAGAAAGTGAATGCCTTTAGTGGGGATCAAAAGACATGCAGGATTCTGAGGAAGGGAGCGTGGGCTGGCACTCTGCTTGATCAGAGCCCGGGAACACTTAACACCTCAAAGAATTTCAAAACTAGGGCAGACACAGTAATGAGGAAGAGCTGCAACTTCTGGTTTCCTTCATGCACAGCATGCATATAAAACAAGACTAGGGAGTGGGAGATTAAGCTGAAAAACAAGTGGATAAAATATGCCCCACTAGACAGTAGGAAAGCCACTGTCAGGAGAAGCTCCTCAGCCAGTAAGCCATTTTTAAGATCTGACACAGTCGATGACTTAGCAGATAAAGGCAGGTGCCTGTGAGGCATCAGTGGGCTGCAGGGAAATCAAAGTATTTAAAGGGAGCATGAGACAAACAGGATATAGACACGCACCAGACTGGGGCTATGTCTTAATTGACAAGACGCTCCTCGTTTTTTTCTGCGCTGAGGCTGACAGCAGCTCCAGAAGGAATTTTATTGTTCCTTAGGATTAAAGCAAACACATCGACCTGCGGCGAACAGCCCCACAGTCGGTGTGCAATTAAAGCTCAATTAGAGCTTTTTTGAATCAATCGTACCCGATGTTCTGAAAGTATTTAGAACAATCCGGGGTGGGGGCAAATCTGACTGGGGAAAATGTAGGCTTTGAAAACAGAAAACACTGTGAAAAAGTAAAAAAGTTTAGAAAAGTTTAAGAATTTCAGCCTAATCTCAAATCTGGGAGAAAATCATTGGAAGCAGTCCTGATTCTAGATCAAGGAAGGCTTAACTGTTTAACCACTTTCACCTACCTTTGTAAATTCAAATTAAAGATGAACTAGACACCAGTCACCCATTATACTGAGGACATGAGCGCTGGCCATTCAGACCCTCCAGTACCGGGGCCAAACCTACAGTAGGTGTGTCCAGGACTCATCCTGGAGGGCCATTGCATCTGCAAGCATTCATTCCAGCTCAGCTCATTACTAGATTCTCCTCTTAATGGCTTTGGCCAGATAACTGGGACAATTTAACACAGAGGTGGTGCTGTTTCAAAGAGAACAGGGAAACAGGCAAACACACCGCCCCCTGCAGGCCCGGCCGAACGTTGCCCTGTAGTGCCGTCACGCTGTCCTGAGTGAGGGGCGGGACCTTGGGCTGCCCCAGCGTCCTCTCTGCCAGCACCCTTTAATATTTCAGCAGGCAGGCGCCAGCGAGGGGGTGTTCTCTTCTAGCCGATGACGTTTATCTTGTCGTGCCCATGCTTGTCAGCCCCTCTTCTCTTCAGTCACGTTTTTGGTAGCGGCAGGTTCTCATCATTTTTTAGTACCGAGCCCCTAGAAGACAATAATCTTCCCGGGTGAAGGGGGGCCAGGGTGAGAGAGGAAAAATAAGAGGGAGCTGGAGAGTGAATGAATGCAGAATCCTCTACATTTCTTCTGAAGAGGATCAGAGGTTGGTTATCCCTCCTTTCTCAGGGCGTGAGATCTGTAATTGTTTTCTGACGTGGCATTTTACCGCATCGTATCCCTTAACAACTGACATTTAGAGTAGCCATTTTTTTTTTCATTTCTACTTAAAACTTCGGCACTATTCCCAACTTGTTTGCTTAATTGACTTCACGCCAGTCTCGTTACCTCTGAGTCTAGGTCCGTGATTAAAATGAGCCGAGAATTGAAAGGCAGTGTTGTTGCTGTGCAGGATGTGAATGTAGTAAGTTCATGGTCAGTAAGTATTAACAATCTGAAGCAGATGATTTCATGCAGGGAAACTATTTGTACACATTGTTACTGCGTTCGCAGCTAAAAACTGCAGTGTCTAGAATTTTTCATGCCTATGGGAACTAGTTGCATTATTTAGCAGTTATTGCTTGTGGCTTAATTTACCACAGTGTCACTGGAGTTTATCGGCCATGTTAATACAGGTAGTAGAAGCAAGACCGCAATTTGGGGAAAAAAAGTGAGTGGAAAAAGAAGCAGTCAATTGATTTTTTAGGAGAATTATTAAGAGTGTTAGTATTAAATTGAAAAGACACAGCAGTCTAACTACACCTGCCTGTAGGCTTGAGTTTCATTATACAAACGTATCCAGGGCTATGTGAGGTGTCATAATTTCCAACTTAGTCTAGATCAGCCTGATAAATGTGGTACTGTCATTGAGCAAAGGAGATTTATTTTACCATGATATCAAAGGCAATTGTTACTTAGCACAATAACTGTTTTAACTAGTATTTATAACTGGTTGATTTTTTTTCTGACAAGCTCGTGCTAGGACTGATCTATCACAATGTTTGTTGTCAGCACAGGATTACATAGTGAATCGAAGGATCCTGCCTTAACACAAAAGATCCATGGTTATTACACAACGAACAGCAACTTCATTTAATTCCAGCAACGCCGGAGGAGTGACACCTGCTCAGTCACCTGTTCCCTGCTCTCTCAGCTGTGCCCGGGACTCACGCAGAGGGCCCTGCAGATGCAGGCTGACCTGTTAGTCACTGGCGCAGGGAACTGATGGCCTGTGGCTCCAGCCCAGCTGCGACCCACTGCTCTGCTGCAGCACACAACAAGATCCCTCTGGTTTTAATGGTGATTTGCAAGTTCTCGGCTCAAGCAAAGCAGAACAACAACATTTTGATTTTCCTTCATACTGTGTGTGGCCTTAATCTGATTTCACAAGGTGCAACAAGATCCAAGAATCTGATTTTTTGTGAATGTTTGAGTATTTCAGGTGGGGTTTTGGCTTGACCCACCCAGTGAAGTGGCAGACCCTGGCCACAGGACGCAGGGGCTCGAACCCCATTCCGAGAGAGGTGGTAGCCAAGGGAGAGCTGCACGTTGGAGATGAGGTGGAGGAGTGATGCTGGAGACCAATGAGAAATGTGTCTGAGAAGAATGAGAAATGAGAATGTGTTTGTGTTCCTTGTATACAGCTGAGTTCAGTAATGATGGCAATTAGGAACAGCTGGGCAATTTTGATTTAACATTATCCCTCCCAAACGTCAATCCACTCCCTTCACTTCTTACGGGTTCTAATTCATATCAGTTCTGCTCTTCCCACAGATGGATCCAGGATTCTGGAAGGTATCCCATGTCCACTGTGGTCCAGTGCTTTCACTGCCTGTCCTTCATGACTCCCTGTGTCTTGAGTCAAGACCTCTGATCGAGCTACTCGATGGTGAAGTCCATTTCCAACAAGAAGATTTATGCTTAGAAATTAGCATTAGCTTCACCAAGGTAAGGACGCCCTTCATTGTAATTTGAATGACTGAATTAACAGTGTTTGACATTATTTATTTCATTTCAGCCTCAATAGCAGATTGCTCTCTTAGTGTCTTCAAGCAGGCGTAGACGAGTAACATTCTCTTAAAGGAGTGGAGGATGGGCTGACCGAGCTTCTGCTGTGGAGTATCAACGAAACCAAAGTCTGTGGAGAAATAGCTTTGAAAGAAAGCTAATTCAGATGACCAGTTAGGAGTTCAGTAAGGGTCAGTAATCAAGAGCTCATTTGTAAAGAAAATCAGAGAAGACAGAACTGAGAACAGCTTTAAACCACAGGCTCCTCAGAGCTTATGTTTGTTGGCTGGAAAAGCCAAGGTCCCTGTAAATATGATACAAGAGGCCTGCCTGCATGTGGTCTGTATATCTTGTGTTCTCCACCAGGCTGGTGAAAGTGGTTCTTTTTGTTAATGCCATTGCTTCACGTTTTTGAGTTATGAAAAATGTATGAGCTATCTGAACTCCAAAAAAGGTTGTAACCATTTCTCAAACTCACAGTCTTTAACAATTGTGTTTCCCAGGATCTTTAAATATCATTTACACATTAAATAGCATTCATAAATAGTGTGAAATAGTACACTGTAGGATTACATAGTGAAATGAATAACTTTGAACAACGATTGGGCACAAAGTAATGATTGGAACAAAATTGCATTCACTGTACATTGAAAATTTCATTGTCTAAGAAGAATGGGGAAAATAAATTAGTTTCTGGACAGATTATAAATAAAATCCCTTTCAGACTATCAAGAGATAGTTTGTTTCATGAACAAATCCTCTCCGATTCCTTGAAATCTTTATCATCCTATAGAGAGTTCTATAATAAACACTACAGGATGTTATGGGGCATTTTATGTGGAAGGAAAGGAAAATACCAGTGATGATCTCTGTGTCTCAGGTGCTTTCAGCAGTACAATTTTATCACTGAAATTAATTGGAGTATCTAACCTTTATTATAGAGTTTATTTAAATATGAAACTGCAAGTACACCAGTTTAAACATTTTCATTTTGGTATATTTTCATTGCCAGAATGTAGTAGCTATTTCAAGTTTGTAGTGTTGGTGGAGAATTTATTTTCATCAAAATCAAACCAGTTGAAATACTATCAAACATAAAGTTGGTGTTCTTTCACAGACCAAGCCTAGCCTAATTTCTCAATCTCTCAGCAAACAGATTCCGCAGCAGATATGGATAAAATTGATTCTTCACAGTCTGGTGGTTAGGAGAGTTTCCACAGGTATGTTCTCCATGCTCCGGACTTTTAATAGAAGAAGAGCTTTCGCTGTCCAGTAAAAAAAATTAATCTGCTTTTATCTTTTACCAGCAGGCAAATTAAAATTCGTGGCCCTATTTTTCCTTGCCTGCCTCCACGTTGTTTGGTGAGAAATTGTGCAGTTTGCATTTGACTTTGGAGAAGAGACACTTCACAACCTGTCTCACTCTTAGTTTTCTGATTGCTGCAAATGTTTTGCCACACATTCACCTAGGACCATTCAATACCTTTCTTGCAGTTTGCCCCGAAAAAGCCTTTCTAGTGGAGAGCAATGGATCATTCACCTCAGCATGCAATCTGTGAATGTCTACGAACCAAAGAGTTAATGACACAGAACTAATGCAGAATCATTTCCAATGCAATTTCATTCATCTCATGAGGTCTAGCATCAGTCTGGAGGTTGATAGAAATTATTCATTGCTGCTGGAGGACACTGTGTAATAGGATTACTGAACTGGTCACATAATACATTTATGAGTATCCTGAAGGGAGTTTCAAGCACATGCAGCATCTTGATTTTCTGATTAGAGAGTGGGTCCACTAGCTTCCACTGCTCAGCATATTCAGTACTTTAAATGGCTGAGCTAACTGCAGACATGAAAATTGCAGTATTTTAGTACCATTCAGGCAGTTATAAGTAGGGTCACATTATGTCTGTGCTGTATGAAAACATCTCATGTGCTGTCATATCCAGTACTAGGTTTTGTGTTTGCTTGACTTTAAGTGTATAGTTTCCTTAACAAGCACAGTCAATCAGCCTGAACGCTCATGTGCAAAATAATTGTTGGCTTTTTGTAACGGAAAAAATACGTGGTGACAGAGCAGAGATCTCCGATAATACCGAACATATTTTATTGCGTTTTTATAAAAACACAGTTAATATGACCCCTTTAGTCATATAATTAACACAATCTAAATTGTGAATGAGATAAGAGTAAACTGTATCATGAGTTTGACACTGAAATGAATTCTGCTTAGCCCCGTATTGCTTGCGGTGATTTCATTACTTATTCATGCACCATTCAAATGAAATCATGCTTAATTAATGAAAACTCTTTCCGGGTCGTACATTCTCCAGTGACGTTCGAAAATCAGGACTTTTCTCAGAAGATCTTGGGGGGATATGAAGTCATTTATTTAAATATGACTGCCCTCAGATCCCTCTATTGATTTCCACAACAATACCCAACAAAGTTCCGGTCTACCTGCTAAGCAAAACAATTCCATTAATTAGATCTGCTCTCTTCGGTTTCATGTCTGTTGTGTGGGAGTTTCTGTAGGCTCGGGGAAGACTATTGTCTAATGAGTCCTGCAGGGTTGAAAAGTCGAGCTGTAATGCATTTGCTTTTGAACCTGAGCTGAATGATGCCCTTCCATTCTGAGTTGTGAAGGTTATTAGCACCCAGGAGGGGCTCTGTACTTCAGGAATCAGAAACATGAAGGTTTTTTACTGTGTAGCCCCCCTCCCCTCCACACACTCATACTCATGCCAACCAGAGCTATACCAATTATTGAGACATTTCTGCATTTAGGGGGAATGAAAAATGAAGCCTTGTTCTGATTTAATCCTTTACCAGCAAACTGCTGCTATCTATTAACCCCCTGATCTCTGGCCCATGAAAGCAGAAACCAGAGAGACACAAGCACCTTCAGGTTCCAGGTCCTGCCATTACTCAGAGCACACCGGTGCAACAGTAATAATGTCACACCCACACCCTTTGGCGAAAGTGTCTCAGACCTTTGGTTAAGTTCAGAGATAATGCAAGCAGGTGTAGCCTACAAGATGAATAATCACACTTCTGTCACACTGATGAAGACAGGGATTCCTGACTGAAAACAGGGAGCAACACATGGGACACAGCATGGCATAATAGTGGCAATAACAAAAAGTGTACCTCTACACTGTACACAATGCACAACTGTAACAAAACATGTGAGTTTGTCTGTTTGCTGCTTCTCTGTGTGAGTCTCAGGTATTTACCCCATTCAATACCGTTTTCAAGGTCACTCTCCTCCTAGAACAGAACAAAGCTTTGTAGTGCAATGAGAAAATGCGTCTCCTGTAAATAACTGTGAGCAGAAGTCATGCCTTCTCATTTTGAGTTGATGTTTTTTGTCCCTTGCAATCATTATTTTTATTGGAGAGCCCGTGTTACCAGAGTCTTTTAAAGATATCCTAATACTGCATATATTAGTTTCAGTCATTTCCAAAGGATAATGCAAAATATTTAATGCAAAACAACAGGCAACCATGAAGGCACAGCAGTGCTGATAACTGTGTGTTTTTCTCCTTGAAAATAATGTGCTATCACTTGAGAACCTGCCCCTGCTGTGTTTAAGTAGCATTATTCTTAAGTGATGAAGCTTGCTTTCTGGGAAGATTTTATTTTGATACACCATTATTAGATTTGTCATAAAAGGAAATTAACCTAAATTCATTACACTGCAACAGACCTGTAGGACAGGGTGTTCACAGTAGGTGAATGGGTAGATTTCAATCAAAAGTTCAGTGTTAGATCCGTGTTGAAATGCTCAGACATTTCATGTTGCCTGACCTTGACGCATCAACACAGTCTCTGTCCTGGTCAAAGTAATCCTCTTTCCTCTCAATTAGGTCTTCCGTTTAATGAAAATGTAATTTCAATATTACAGTCATGCTGCCTGCCTGAAGACCAGCTAAGTGCTTTGAGTTTTGGAAATCAACCTTTTTAATATGCTAATTGTTAAGTTTTATGCAAATGAATTTTAATTGCCTAGAAATTGGATGCAGGCAGTAATTTGTTATTTAATGGAATGCTAGTTTATTCCGAAGGTGGAAAGGGAGTTAACCCATATGTCTTGAGGCACTGACATCAGCTCAGGAGCAGGAGCATTCCAGAATGTCGGAACACAGGTCCTCCCGTATGGAAAGTGTAATTTCTGTGGACAATTCTTACAAGCCTGCACAAGTGGAATGTGTAGGAAATCTCGGGACGTTTTTTGACATTTTATTTCTTGCATATTTAATCTAGCAAGTGCACTTAGGGACAGCGCAATAGCAGGGGTGTTAGACACAGATCGTCTCTGGATCGAGGGAACACTTGGGTTCAGATCACGGGGCTCACATCCCCCCCAGAGGGCGGCCTCGTGGCATCGGGGTGCTGGCAGCAGTGAGAGTGGGGTGGTGGTGGATCAGGCAGGAGCTTGTGTAAGTGCTTTTAAAGGGAGCTAACCCAGGTCCTGCTTTTAATGAACGTGGCACTCTGGTGTGTCACAGATCACACCGTTCTTTATTTTATCCCCGTTTCTACAAAGTTTCACAATGCTTTTTATTCCACATACTGTACTTCACATCCAGGTTATGCAGACTAATTTTGCCTAATGGATAGTATTGGTTTAATGACTTTTTGATGCAATCAGTAGCTATATTTTTTGGCAAAGCCTTAAATCAAACTGCACTCTGGTCCCCAGCAGATCATGGTTTTATTTCTACATCTGGCAGATGTGATCCACAAGGAGAACAATGTAGTTCAGCTTCTCCTGTCACCATGTGTGCTGTGCTGTGCCACTGTTTTCATTGAGCATTGCAGAAGTTCATATTCTATTGTTTCATTGCAATTACGCTCATTAGGCACCCGTTCTGTTTTTATCTTTCATAATTCGGCAATCGGTGGACTGCATTCGCACATGAACTCTGCCACCCCTTCCCATGCGTGTGTGTGTGTCTGTATAATATGGACACTTCACAGATACCACATAAAAAACACTGCCACCATGGAGCCCTGAGAGATCATGAACATCCCAGGGTGGAAGGAGATAATAATGCCCTCAGGATGGCTGATGAGCTTGCAAATCCTGCAAAGGCACAGCCAAGGTGAAGCGGTCAGTTAGTCCAAACGCCTGTAATTCCCCTGCCCATGAAGGAGCTGTAACTCGAGGTGAGCAAGATCTCGATAAAACACCTCTAGGGGTTTGTCACTTCAAGGGGTCCAACATTTACTGAAAGCCTATCTTGGAATAAATATAGTTTCTGAAGTGACCACTGCTGGCAAGGGGTTTTTGACAGGAAGAAAAGGCAGACGATTCATGATGCAGCGACAACTTCTGAAAGAAGCCATCTCAAGCTGGCCGAACAATAAGTGACCCACGGGAACTCTGGAGAAGAGCAGGTGGCCAGCTGTGCACAGCTAACAGAGCAAGAGTGGACAGGCACCACACGCTCGAGACCAACACAAGCCCATCGCTGCCCAGGCTGCAGCCAGAGGAGGATGAGCTAGGAAGCTATTAGTGCCAAGCGCTCTGGCTTGATTAATGATCCCATCAACGTGGACAGAGCCGGCTTTCATGCAGGAGTGGCCCGCCTGCTGAATCAGCTGAAAGAGAAAGAATTATGGTGCGTTCCGCAGGGGTTTGCTGAAAAATGTGCGTTACCTTTTTGGCAAACAGGAACTCTGTCATTACAGCGAGTATTATGATTGAAATCTTCATCGCATTTAATACCTAATCTGTTGAATGACAATTCTGGCAGCTGTTTTACCATCATTTTCTCTATATGACAATTGTTAAGCACTATTTCTTTCAACCCAGGTCACTAACGATGCCCTTGATCCCTGGGAGTCTGGTAAGAAATCAGTAGCCTGCACTTGAATGCGCTCCCCAACAAGTCGGGAAAAAAACCTTAAAGAGTGCAGACTTCCAACCTATAAAAGTACAAGATAATATCTTATTAAATTAAGTTAATTTGTATTAATTAAAATGAATGAACATGTAATAAAAGGCTTTTTGAATAACTTAAAACACATTTAGTATTGGTTACAACACAAGGCATGCTTCTAGTCAATTTTTAATTCTTCGAAGAGACTTTGCCAATATGACACAGAAAGGTTATAAACCACAGGTACATTTGGCCCATGGAGCTTGTTTGTTTTCTAGCAGCTAGTTGATCCAAGGAGCTCCTCCAGCTGCTCCTCCGTGTTTCTCCCAGTTCACTTGTCACTCCAGCCTGCTGCTCCACACGGCTGCCTGTGACCACCACCTTCTTCTGAATTCCTGGAAGAACCACCCACATCCGTGTGTCTGCACCAACACTTTGGGAAGCTCCTCTGTGTGCCCATTCTGTCACGCCCGACTCTCCCCGGACTCTGGCTGCAGTCCGGCAGGGTGTGTCTGTCCCGCGCGCTGCTGTATTGAGGTCTCTGCAGGGGCAAACACATGGAAAGGGAACTTCATGCGCTCCATGTGCCAGAACAGCTCCCCTGTTTGCTCTTATTGTCACAGTGCAAGAATATGTTTCTGCGCCTTCGTAAGCAACTCAAGGTCAGTGTGTGGGGGCAGTTTCAATAGCCAACAAAGACTGGCAGCTGGAGGCAATAAGTGTCGTTTATTTGTGTATCATAAATAGAAATCTTGCTTATTTTACAGAAAATAAATTGGGCATTTATTGTACTGTTAATGTCAAGCACGTCTCTGAATTCATGTTCACATTTTGTCATTTTTTTAAATATTTGCTGCTGGTTAAGAATTTGGAATTCTTTGTTGTTTAGTGAAAAGATTTCTACAGAGATTCATTTTATTTAGACTCACGTGCTCTCTTCCAGTTTGCTTACTTTATATTTTGTTCCTGTGTAAATTAAAATCAATTTTAATTAAATACACTTCACAAAATAGAAACCACAACTATTTTCTTCCATATTTGCACATAAATTGGGGGATATGATTCTGTCCAATATGGTAATTTTAGGAACATTAGAAACAAACTAACCTTGATCTGGCTTTTCAGATTGCAGGCCTGGAGCAGTGTTTGTCATTGCCTAGAACAGAGCATGTCAGCAGCTCTCAGTTAATCTGTGGGGAGGTGTTTCTCTTTGTTCCATTGGTAGACTTGACATCAGAACCCCCTGAGTGACTCATGAAGAACTCAAGAGCATGGATTTGTTGATTGTACAGGGAATGAATCCAACTGGAAATTGTTCAGACTGGGAGCTTGATCTTTACAGCACTTTGTGCAGTACTTGAGTAGGAACTCATTTGTGTGCTCTAACTGACGTAATTACCCAAAAAGCACAACTGACGGTGGTGTTTTTGGTGTAACAAGACATGGGGTGACTGAATAGGGCAGGCACATCTGAGATTTGAGATTGTAATTGAGATGGAATTTTTTGTTATTTGAGGTAAATGCCGCTCCGCCCCTTTCGTATTTTAGTTGATGTCATGCACCTGTCCCCTGTTTAGTTTGTCTTTATTTAAGCCTGGCGCTCCCGCTATTCCTATCTCAGCACTGGGAGATGGACGCCCGGAAACCCGCCTACCAGCGGGTCCAGGAGAGACCCGGCAGCATCAGCTTCCTCACGGCGTCCTGACCGTCTGAGTCCGGGGCTCGGAGCGCCTGGCCTCGTTACTGTTTTTATCCTCCTGAATCCCTCTCCCTGTTCTGGATCCCATTCCGGATTTTAACTGTGTTTGCTTCGTCTTGGATGAATCCCCCAGTTTTGGACTCAGGACTGCAGCCCGGAATCCCCCCTTTGGAGTTCCCTGAACGTGTTTGCCATCGCCACGCCCCCCGAGCACCGGATCACCGCCGTCACCCATCCTGATCCTCTTCGTCTCCTCCCCTGATGTCCTTCTCCACTTGCTTCCGGATTACACCGTCTGCACAGGGTCCTGAACTACTCTTCACGGGAGCCTGGACCGGCTCCCGTTACATCATGGTTGTAAAGCACCTTGAGAAAATGTTCCATGAGAGGTGTTATAAAAAATGAAGATGATTATTATGGTGATTGCCTGTGTTTCTTTCTTTGTTAGGTTCTCGACTAGGCTGTGTGAGACACCTCTGCCTGCAGGAGCAGGAAAATGCATGAAAGAAGCTCAGGCGAGATGTAGCCATTAAGGTCTGACAAGGTCTGAAACTTTTCTAACGACTACCAGAGTTTACCCATGTGTGATAACTGATCTAACAGAATGTATTAATAAAGAAACGGGGCTGTGTGGACTTTGACATGCTCATCTCTGACAGATGGCAAGGCAGATGGAGGTAGTAAGTCATGTCCGTTTTTCAAGGCCTGGAGTCCCTGTGTCAGTCATGTGCTCAGCAGCACTCTGCCTATTTAGACTAGACTGAATCAGAGAGAACTGTGTCTGTGCTTCACATGGGCCTGGTGAAAAAAAGAGGCAGAATTCAGCAGCACTGACTGTGGTCTGACTTGCCACAGCGGACACAAGGTCATGAAGCCAGGCAGACATCTGTGACCGAGGAACTCATTAACCATGGGAAAGACTGACGTGAACATGCATTGCTCACAACACTCTAGGCCAGGAGGGTATGATCTTTGAGTTTTCATCCCGTTTTTTGTTCTAGATTTAAATGCATAAGATCAAAATATATGAATATATTATCGATTGAGAAACACGAACAGTTTCATGTCCTTTAAAACATCTTCAAACTTTTCTGTTGGTTATTCAAACCCACACACCCTCCTACCACCATCACATGAATTTGTCTGGCTAAGGTATTTCTCACCTAATGACAGGGCACAGCTATATTATCCAGGAATAGAAGAATTATTGATTTTCTTCACAGTCTGACCTCCAGATAGTCTCACCTTAATTCAACCATTGAAGCAATGTCTTACTCCTCTGCCTGCTCAGCTGTGGAGAGGGGTTGGTCGGTGATCTCTTCCTAGATATGCATTTAGATAGGCATTTACTACTTCTTCTTCTGATATTATTATAACGTCACCATAACAATAATGGATCTGTGGATGCTGTAAGCATTGTTACACTCTCGGACTACTCTGCAGTGAGCTCAGAGTTTAAATAGCATTGATGTGCTTTTCAGACATGGTGCCACTGAAGCACATACTGCCAGACCCCACATGCAGACTGCAGTAAGGCTTCTCTTAACACCCCAGCTGGGCATCAGATGTCCTACGGCAGTAGAGAAGCCCCCCTACAGAGAGGAGCGGATCACATCTGCGAACCCAAAAACATACCACTATACAAGTCCTAGTGAGAGAGGTTTCTTTAAATTGACAACACTATCTTCACACCAGACACCTCAGAATGGGATGGCACAGAAAAGGGTGTCAAAGAATGAATGATCCCACGTCAAAATTACTAAACAAAAGATGCACATATGCAAACAAAAAAGTGAGACTTTGAACTGAGCATCCAACAATCAGTTTATTTTACTTAAATATGAGTGGGACTTAACACATAAAAAAAACTGAAAGAGCCAGATCCTTCCCCACACTTTTGAATTCAGCAAAAACGTGGAAGAAAAAATGTGCAAGAGCCCTGATTTATTCTTCTTTTCTGCCTTTTTTCTTGTGATGTCCAAATCTGCTGTTTGGCTCGTTTGAAGTTTTTCTCAGTTTTCCAGAAGCACTTTAGTTTGCTTTTGTATGAGCCGTGCTGAGTCTGCAGCAGTCTGTTCGGTTTCTGTTAAATAATTTAGAATTAAAGCTTTGCAATAACCTCACAATCGTGAGATGGCAGGAAGAAGTGTGTCTTTCACATCTGGTTAACTTAAAGAAAGAAAAGACACATTAATAAATAAATCAGATTTTAACACCTGCTGTAAAAGTAAAACAAAACACACAGCAGAGTGTAAAAAGTAGATCAATGATTCATGAACTTTTAAACAGAGAATGACCATTGTTGACCTCGTGTAAGTCTTAAAATCGTCCTATTCCAGCAAGTTCTAAAGGCCTCTCTAAATCAGTACTTGCATGAGGCCGGGGAATAAAGGTTGCGTTGGTTCAGTGATGTGAACAATGAGTTTAAATAGCTCAGGGAGAAAGAGAACCTGAACACCCTCTCTTAAGGAGCACGGTCCCGGGTGAAGGTTGTGCTACTGATCCACACCCCTGCCCTGTGGTGGGTGTGAAGAGAATTCCCCTGCTGGAGACAGCCAGTGTAAGCAGGAGTCAGGGGGGACTGTTCGGATGTGTGAGCTGGTTCTGAATTTCAACAGAAAAAACCCTGGCTATCTGTTTTGGATAACCCTCAAAGGAATGCGGCATATCCCCCATTTTCAAAACCAGACTCACAATTATTATTATCAGCCTTGTTGTTTGTTGTATCTGGCAGACGCCTTCATCTACGGTATCTCACAGCAATGCCAGGTCTCAGGCAACAACAAAAAGAAAAACTTTTTACAGTTTTTTGGCATTACAGTTAACATTACCCTAAAAACAGCTTGAATGCACAGCATGCCGTGCTAAAGGGAGGGGTGGTGAGAGCAGAGACCCTCACCCTTTCTGGGCAGGAAAGCCAGTATCGGCTGACCATCGCCTTCCCCACACCTGCAGCGAACGAGTGCTGTGCACTGTTTGGGAATAAGAATTTTATAGCTTTCATCAATTTGCTTGTTTTTTCAATCCAATTCAGATTAGTGAGGCAGCAGAGCGAGTGACTCCAGGACTTGTAATCAGAAGGGCTGTGGCCCCCAGATTCTGGATGGGACCCCATTACGAAAGCACCCCTGCACCAGGTACAGTACCCCGCGCCGATCACTCCAGGGAAAAGTTACACGCAAAATAAAAAAGTTGCTCCGGATAAAAGTGTCTGCTGGATAAATTAATAGTAAAGACAGGAATTGTCAGATGCGGGTGCATTTGTTATTGCGCTTGGCTCCCTCGTGAAGACTGTGACGTCTGTAAGTAATGAAGGATTGTGCCTCTCCAGCCACGCTCATCAGGGTAGAGAGGAATCTGGGCTGGGCGCTGGGTTCTGCAAGTGAAGGAAAGACGTTTGTCCCTGTCAGCACACCTCTCTCTGTAAACAGTTTTCAGGCTCATTAGTACCAGGCAAGCTGGCCAACAGACGGTGAGTGCTGAGATCATACCCAAAGACAGAAAAAGTTGGAACTGCTTCCTTTATTGTCCCAGATGGGACGTTTTCTTTGCAGACCGGTAAAAGACACGACACAATGCACAATACAGTACATTAAACACAACATGAGCCCATTAGCCAACCAGAAACATACTTGCACGAGATGAGGAAAACAAGTTAGCAGCTGAAGTCATCTTCACGATTTAGAAAAAACGACAAAGAAATTGGGTCATCAGTGCGTGAGACTGATACACATGCTGATCCACCCTAGAGAAGGATACGTAATTGTTGACATAAAAACAAGGCTGACAGAGAGAGTGAGTCAAGACCGTATTTATGAAGATTAATGACAGATAAACTGATTTCAATAGATTTGAAAGGATTTTTAGTTTTTTTAGAAAAACACAAGTCCAACTTTCCCCGGCTTCCGTGTGCACTGTTCTGCACTTCTGGGCTTTAGCAGCAGGGACCAGAATTCTTCACCACGTAATAAAATAATAAAATGCTAGCTCTATATTATGTTTCTCTATTATGGTTACTAATACTTTTTTTCACTTTGTCCTCTAAGATTAACCCACCCAAATTCTAAAGGAGTGTGAATTTTTCTTCTCGCAATGCAGTGCAAGTTTAATAAGTCCTTTATTAATATTAACTTAATCTGAGTCTTGATAATCTTTCAGATGAATCAGTATCACTCTGAGCCTTACTAAGTTTCAGATTCTCCACTGTACTTCAGCTTCAGGTTTTCTTTTCAATATCATAGTATTTACCCTGTCCCTCATTTGCAGGTCTGGTCCACACCCCAGAGATGTCAACCCTGACTGCAGTAATTGATGAGTGCCTCTGTCAACTGCTTCCAGTGGGCTAAAATAAGGAGGTGGGAGCTCCTCCCTAAAAAAGGAGCAGCTGTAGAGATAAAGGAGAAGAGCCTCTGCAGACCTAGAAGCCAGCACCTAGTGAGTTTCTCTTTTCCTGTGACAAGCTGCTCTTGCTTAACGGGCTTCAACTGAGTAGCACTAGGATCCAAGAGGCGGGTATCTGTGTGCTGACTAGTCTTAGCTTTTTTATTAAACAACCTGCCTTAGCTGTATTTATCATGCTATGGCTATTGGAAGTGCCTATTGAGGCGTCTTGAGAATCTAGGGACACCAGTCCAACCTCTAACTAGTGTCATTTGAAGTTCTCAGGAGCTTCAAAGCAAGAAAGGAAACTGAAGTGGTTACTTGGGTCTGAGACACACCGGTCAAAGGAATCGTCTGATCCTTCAATAATTAACTTCTGGGTAAATGGTTAAGAGTCATCAATAACTTGAGGTAAGAAGAGATTGGAGAGAAGGAGCAGAGAGAGGGAAGGGCAGGAGAGAGGAGAAGAGCCAGTGGAGGCCAGAGGTTCTTGTTCCAATCACCTTTAAGACCAGATTCAAGTTAAGTATTTAAATCTTGTTGAGAGAGATTACTTTAGGCAATTTTTACAAAACTCTGATTTCCTGTATAGGGAATCCATAGGTTAAACACTGACTCTCCTGGTTAGTGGGTACATTTTAGAATAAGGAGACAGGTTTTCCATTCTCTTTGCATGCAGATTTATATATAGAGAGATTAAAATCTAGGTCTTGTTCTGTTAAGTTTAGAACATTTATCTCTCTTGTTGGCCTGTGTAAGTGTTATACAGTGTTTGAATACTTGGTAGCAGTCTGGGGTTTGTCCTTGTTCATCAGGACTTAGGCTTCTTGCCAAAAGCTTTACAATTTGGGGGTTATGGTTATTTCTTTTAATCAGCAATTAACCTGCCCGGACGATTTCTGTTTCACTAGTACCAGCACCCCTTTTTGTAACAATTTGCCATTTTTTTGTGTTAAGTCTCACTCTCCCTCCCCCCATCTCTACCTGCGCAGCTGCCCCCTGGTTACCCCTCGCTCCGCAAAGAGGTCCCAGCCTCTTTGCCCTATGGCGTTCGCAGAAACGTCCGGTTCTTGGACGTCTTTATTCCTCGCGAAACATCGCTAGCTGTCTTTGGAAGAAGAAAAAAAACACTGGCTGAGATAAGAATATAGGCCCAGACTGAATCCAGTTTTAGCTTTCTCTTTAGGCTTGAAGCGCAGTGCCCCAAAGTGGGTGAAAATTCAATTTATCCAGCGGAATTAAATAAAATGGCTATTTCCATCGTTAAATTGCCAAGATAATTTATTGAGTCTTAACCCCGTTAACAAAGAGCTGCCGCTGTCGATTGATTCCCCTTGTGCTGTGACCTTCCTGTCGGTGAATCAGTGACACAGGGGCAGCGAGTTTCTCTCTTCTCTTATCTGCATTACTTGGGGGCTGGAGACTGTGAATTCCAACCGCTGGTCTTCTCAGAGCTCTTGTTCAAACAGCATGTGGGCACCTGCAGATTCATCAGACGGACCAATGCGTTGGCAGCCACGAGTGTGGTTAGGAGGACCTGGACAATCTCACCGAAAATCATCTTGTAAAGCAAGAAACAGAATAACGCTGAGTCACAGAAATCTGTACTGCTGAGCCCAAAATTCAAGACATCACCCATTTGTGTCACCACAGTTTTTTCATCAACATATCCTTTTTCTTAAATCCTCTCACACTCTTTGTTTCTCATCTCAGTCTAATTCACATCTCAAAACCTACCTGCTTCAGTCCACACCTGCTTTCAATGGCTACAGGAGGATCCAGTGCATTAGTTTAAAACCTGGTTTTTTGTGTGTTTGGCCTTTTTTTTTGTAGGTTGAGTCTGTCTCTGTGTTTAAGGTTGCCATCATGATGAATAGCACATCCTTTACTTAGAAGTTGTGTTCCTGAGGGAGATACATAACAGTGAGGGATGGAATGTTGTTATGCCATAAAAATCTATCTTACTAAACTTCCTATTGGAGTGCTGGCAAAGTGCATAAAGAAGTATAAGATCTGTGCAGAAGTGCAAGGTCAGTGAGTGCTGAGAAAAGATGGATTGTGCCACCTTGTTAATTTCCATAATTAATTAATTACATTCATACAGCGCTTCTCATCCCAAAGGATCCCAAAGCAATTGCATCCCCAGGATTTAAATTTTAAGAGATTTTAAAATTCATGTGAACTCTCAATTGTGTTCTCTCTTGGATTGTCATTATTCAGGAATAAATTAACCACACAGTTAAGGCAATTGTTTATTTAAATGATTATTTATTAACCATTACTAATTGTTTATCAGTTAAATTAAGCTAAGAAAAACTGGGCCTTGCAGTCACTTGTGGCCTGTGAGTTAGTGACTTTGTCCTTGAACAGAGCTTTCCGGCTCATCTAGAGTTTATTTTGATCTGGAGTTTCTAGTAACTACAAACTTCAGCTTTACAATTCCTCCCTTGGTGATATTATAGATTGTATCGCTTAGGAAAAAACTAAAGAAGCATCATTCACACATTATTCTCCTTGCTACAACAAGCAGCTTCGCTTCATGAAATGACATGGTTATGAATCTGAACACAGAAAGAGGGACCTTGGTCTGTCTGTTCATTAACTTGACCTGTAGCAACACCAGTAATCCTATATGCACGGATTGTCCCGGCCAGCTTTATTGGAAATCTAATGGAAGAAGGGAAAAGTATTCTAGAAGTATTTTTATTCCTCAGTTCTTCATCTCTTAAATCCAGTAAAGAACACCATGCTTGATGACTCCAATATAATCTGAAATTACTCAACCCTGGAGTTAGATTGTATCTTGTGATTCCCCTGCTGAGGATAAAAGTATATTCTCTCGAGCTCCAGGCATTTATCCTTGCTCACTGCCAAGCAAGATATGCAACCACATCTTCCTGGAGTCCTGTTCCCACTGTCTTCCTGTGTTCACACTGAGCAACTCTGCCTATCAGACAGACATCATCAACACTTCACTGAAATCTGGAATTGTTCTCACTGTCCTTTAAATTGCATTTATTATTTTCTCTGCCACAAAAGAAGAACTTAGACTCTAGCCTCCTCTGTAATTATCAGTCAATATCTAACTTAACATATTCGTAATGTTTGGGCTGCTGCAGTTCAGTTACAAGCTCACTTATCTGCAAATGAGATTTATGAGAAATTTCAGTCTGGATACAGATCGATGGATCAAGAGATGCAGTTATAGTGTTGGCTTTCTTACAGTAGAATCCATAATTGCCGAAAAGAAGGGATATTTTTATGTGAAATGTTTCCAGTGAACAAACAGCAGAACTTGATTTGTTAGGTTTAATAAGTCCTTTATTGAACCTCATCTGAGGCTTGATAAACTTTCAGATAAATCAATATTTCTCTGAGCCTTGATTTCAATTAGATTGTCTAGCAGGACTCTAAATTGCATGTACATAAGAAAGCAAAACAATTCAATAAAGACACATGATGAAAGCAAACTCATAAAACTAGCGTCTGTTTTTGACAAGTTGTCTTTAATATAATCTGCCTCTCTGGTGACAACCTGTCTCCAGGCTGGAGCTACTGTAAATACAGGAAAGTATAATTTAAACATTTCTGATTTAATTTAGTCTCTCTGGAGGACCATGGTGCCTTCTACTTTTATATTCACTGAAATGGTCTCATTATCTAATTGATTAAATTAAATATGTCTTAAAATGTGAGTTGGAACAGCTTTATAAATGCAGTTGACAGCAGAGAGAGCAAACGGTTTGTCACAGTGCCGTCTGAAAGATCTCCATTGGGAAAGGAGTGCAGTCCAAGCAGGAGAGCTCAAGGGATCCGCTGTCTAGGTTGAGATGCTTGGCTGCCTCTGTCTGTGTTTACAGTATTGACACCTGAGCGCATGGTGACCCTTTGTGTGGTTCTAATGAGGTCAGCCCTGTCTGTTCTTTAGTCAGGCAGTTCTGAACAGGTTGCTGTTGGACCCACACTGAGACCATGTGGATTGCTGAACTGCAGAATCAGATCAGCTGGCTGTCCTACACGTAAGGTAAATCAGGATGAGGAATAATCTGTATGGCAGGGATAGTAGATCCATTGACTTGCTAATGGGGGATTGTAGCTCCTGAATAAGATGATTACATTTATTTATAGTCCGTAAAGCACATTATTAAACAATCTGCTCTGAAAGCCATTTTTAAAAGGTTCTCACATCTCAACACAATGAAATGCTTTGTGCCCACTGGCCAGAATATTAGGAGCTCCCCACCAGATAACACATTGGGCCTTGGTGCTCATAAAGAACAGCCTGAGCAAGAGGTGTCATGCATTCCAGTGAGTTTTGGAACATGTCCAACCTCGATCTCCAGATGACGTTGTTCCACCAGTTCCTTATGTTAAGAATTGACAAAAATTGTCAAATAGCATTCTGGACCAATTTCAATGCATCACCATCTTCTTTCCTGATCCCTCTGGTGTATGCTGGAATGTCTTTACTCTTGCTGGTAAAGCTCTCTGTCTCTGTTCAAATCCCAGCATAGTGACTGTCTTTGCTGAGCGTACTGACTCACTGGGTAGCAGCCTATTCCAGTTGCTCCAGCAGGAAGCAGACGGAGTGGGAGTATACACCTGGACAGAACTCTTCTCTGTGGAAGGTCCTGCCCCCCAGCCATGCTAGTACCTGTTAATACAGGTGTGCAGACTGCCCCCACTGCAGTGGGGACCGTGGACTAATGAGTCCCTTGAGCCCTTACCACAAAATGGTAAAACATCTGACGAGTCCGTTACTGAGGAGCTCTTTTTTCACCCTGAAATATTTATCCGTTAAGGGACTAAATGTGTCCCTCAGAGAAGAATCTGGGTCAGAAACCCATAACCCTCCCAACCGTCCGGTGGGCAGGAACATTGGCAATGTGTTGTGGTCGTCATGGTAGAATTCATCCTCCTCATTTATTCCCATTGATCCTCAGGTATAAGAATGGATAAACTTACTATAAGGTGTATGAGAAGAAGAAGAAAGATTTTCACCCAGCATGAAAGGTGATATTTTTATGATGATGACTGCCCTCCTTTTTTTTAGATTTTGAACAGTCATTACAAGAATCCTTTTAATATTTCAAAACCCAGGCTCCATAGAGACTCTGAAGTCATACACTTCAAATGAGCGCAACAGAAAGTTCCGGCAAATGTACCCTATCTTAACAAGTCCCCCACGCCAAAACAGTTAAGCCTCTGCTTTGGGCGGTAAAGACACAGAGACAGAACGAGCCATCTTTTACCTGCGCCTGTCTATGAGCTATTGGCGATTTATAAAATTGGCTGGGAATAACCCAGGAAATAATAGGCGATCTCAAATATATGAACCCCAAGTATAAAGGGTCTGATCTTAGATCCCTCTTTCCCAGGATTTCTGTCTACCTCTCTGGTATCCTTAAAGCAGGGGTTCCCTAATACCTCATGAGCTCTCCTTCAGAGGGTTTCAGATAAAGAACGTCTTCCACTACCCCATTAATGTGCTGAAGGCTTTGGAACTGTTGTCGGTATTTGAAGATTAGCGGCGAGGAGCTCTCAAGTTCTTACTTTTGGTGTTGTTTGAACGGTGAACTTTTTCAAGGACTTTTGGTTGTTTTCTTTTCGTTGACCACACAGCTCACCCGGTGTGTCATGAGGATGGATAACCGGGGGAACGTCGACCCTTCGAAGCAGCTCTTTCAGGAAATAGCTGCATGACCTCAGCCCATGACTAACTTTTAACTGCGCTGACATGATGTATCACTGGGCTCCGTTCTGTACACTAGAGCTCCGAATGAGGGAAGGCTTCGGCACTTTGAGGTGACAGGGATGAAAAATGTTACCTTTAATTCTGGAAGTCATCACAGTAAGTCAAACGGGTTGCAGCTTGACATTCAACTCTATCCAGTATATTACGAATATATTGCCATTCACGATAATCTATGACACTGGTTGGATGTAACTCTCTGGCTGATCCCTTGCTGAGTTTTAAAATATGACACATAATAAAATCTGTAATAAATAAGTCAATACCACTTTCAGAAACTGTAGTTTCACTTGCAGATGCCTTTGACTCAGGGTTGAATATATGTTAATGAAATATTGCATATATTAAACACAGATTATGCCCCGGAGGAGACATTTCATTCTCGCTTTTACCTAGAAAAAAAAATTGGAATTGAATGCTGTGCACAGAATTCAAATTTAAATGTGCTTATCAGGGCAACCAGTAGCGTTTTCAAATCTCATGAACAAATTGGCTGACAAAAAGAATGTCTGTGCTTTTTTCTGCGGCTGTTAGAACAACCAGAACGTCAGTAGCAGTGGAAGACAGGGAGAGAATGAATGCTCACTCTTCCACTCTGCTCTGTATTGGAGAAGGACTCTAACGTCTGTAAAACAAGCTCTGAAAGTGTCATATACACAAGGCTGGCTGATGACTTTTCTTCTGAGACCCTTTTCCAGGGCTCACAGGCTTCTTGTAAGAAAGAGCATAAAAATGCTTGTCACAAAAATTGAAACTTTACTTTGATTGACATAAATAAGGAGAAACTTTTGCTGGTATCCAAAGAGGAATTTAAATGTCAATACTGACAAGACAGCATGAATAGCAAGCTTCAGTTTCTTATGTAAGTCAAATCCCTCTCGGAAATTCTGCATGGAGGGCACTTAAACATGAATTTGATGGCTTGGGGATGAATGAAACTTTGCATATTAAGTCTACTAGTAGCTGTAAAATACAAATAACACAAACAACCCACGAGATTATTTTAAAGTTGAACAGGTGACATTTTCCTTGAAAAGAAAATAATCTCTCTTGGTGACTACCCAAAATGAACTGGGCGCTGGTCTCCCGTCCCCAAACTAGTTACATTCATACATAAAAGGACACCAATTGGATAACTAATTCTGGAGGACATAAGGCTCTTCAATCAGCACCAGAGTCAGTGAGTACAACAGGCACTGCCTGCAGTCGCCTAGACTCTGAGCTAACTAAAGCAAGCAATTCCAATAAACGGTAGTTCGTTTTCTTTTAGTTTAGAAACCTTTTAGGACCAAGAATTTGGAATTTGGAAGAGCTGAACAACTGGGGGTGGTGGGGGGGCAGGGCAGCAGGGATTTTCACTGATAACTCTGGAAGCTCACAGGCACCTAACAAGGCTCGAGCTACTGCTGTAAACTCTCCCAACACCGGCAGCGTGCAGCCATCTGTGAGCAACAGCAGCCCTCATTCAACCACATTGAGCCTGATCCAGACCCAATCAAACTAACAGGGATGGATGACTTCTGAATCAGTGCTGTTTTGCTGGCTTAAACTGTCAGCCATAGGGGAGACGACACCAACAAAAATCAACAGAAACACGTGGAAAGACATGACAAATCAGGCTTTACGGTTTTAAAACTGCTTCCCTTTCCTTTGTTTTGCTTTTATGAAGTGCAGAGTGATTTCAGAATCCTTTTTTTCTCATGAATTCTTTATTTTCTTCCTATAGTTTTCCATAGTGAACTTCTACAGTGATGGGGATGATAGCAGTGTTATCATCACATATACCATGGACATTTTCCTGTTAATTCATATGTAAGATAGAAATAAAATACTGGCATCTTTTCATTGGAATTATATTTGTAAAGCCACACTTGTGTGATTTAGTCTCCAGAGAGACTTCTCAGACTAGTGTGCTCTCTGCAGCCAGTAATAAACAGGTTAGTATTTTAGCATTTGTTGCTTTTTCCTGCTTTTCATTTCTGCTGAATGTTTTTATTCCCTTAATATTTATTCTATTGTAGAGCTTCAGAAAAACATGCAAATGATCACATTTTATTATATTTTTAATCCTTTTTGTTGGCTTTTATTTCCCCCATTCTCTAATTTCTTCTTAAAAACAAACTTTTCCTGATAGCGTGGGTGTTGGCATTATGGGATATGTACTGTGGGTACAGTGGAGTCTGCTGTCTGGAGCTCAGCCAGCAGCTCAATGTGGGCAAGACTGAAGAAGTCAAGGCTCGTGCAGGAAAGGGCTGCAGTGGAACCTTTGGTCAGTCTCCTCACACTGCCTGCTGAATGACGCAGCAGTAAGGTGAAGTCTAGTTCTGGGGTGAACTTCACCCAGTCTGCATGTTTTGTTTCAGTGTTTGCCATCTAGACACTATAGATTTATTAAAGCAATTTCCAGGTGTTTTCACAGCAAATTTGATCTTTTTGCATTGGTTAAATGATCATTTGTTCGGTCAGACCTATTTATTTGTTTCCAGGTCTTCCAACTGAAGCTTATAACTTCACCAACTTTAGGAATGCCCTGAAACCCTCTGCGGTCAAGTTGAAAAACAGCTGTAAGGGTGCGAACAAGGCCATTCAGAGTTCGGGTAAGTATAAAGTTATGGTTAGGCTTCATGCCAGGGTTATTGAAATACACAGTTTGTGCTCGTGCCCACGGTAAGCTGTCAGTTCTGGCTACACCAGACCAATGTCCTGAGCTGTTCACACCTGACCAATCCCACAGAGGTGTGTCAAGGGGCAGGTGTGCCTCCTGGAAACCCCTAACGACAAATTGTAATGAATGGTGCACAAGATTCAGGAGTCGTTCGACGTCTGTTTCCGAATGTATCTGCGCATTACTTTCTAACAAGACCTAAACGGTTGGAAATTATATTGTGTTTATGATCTGTGTAATACATACAACTATTACCATCCTTGCTTTTAGTTTAATGTGGATAATGATGCCTCTTAGGTGCATGCTTTTAAATTACATCACATATTATTTCATTTTCCCAACAATTTTAAAACTGGATTATGGGCACATTTGGATATGTGAGCATAAGGTGTCTTGATCTTACACATAGCACAGATGCAATGAGATATAGTTGTGAAAAACCTATTTTGTACCCCAGTCAAGAGTTAAATCCATCTGATAATATCTTGCACGGCACCTTTTTCCGTGCAGTGAAATGGGTATTTTTGCTCCAACTTGTTTTCTGAATCCCAAAAGATTGCAATTTACAAAATGAAACTGCACCTTTTCAGAGTATTCTTGGCAATAAAAAATGGAAATGAATTTAGATTTGCCAACATTTTATTTGAAGCCAAAAAGAAAATCTTGTAATTCTGCATATACTGTACAGTACAGTACCTTTTTGTGCTGTAACTTAGAATACAATCCTTCAGGAGCATAAATCATCATATTTGTCATTCTGCTAAGTAAAGACAAAGCCCTCACTTTCCTCTTTATCATAATACACATCCTGACATTATAATTTGTTACTTTTCTGTGTGAACCCTGGTATTTGAGGCATATGTAGAAACACATGGTGCAGTATTCTAGTTTGCAAGAAGTTTTGCTCTTTTATTTTTTACAGCTACTATTTAACTGCTGCAAAATGTAGAAGTTACATGTACATGTAATGAAATAACACTTCTCTCTGCCTACACACGCCATTCATCATTGACTTTCAGGGAAATGGGATAGTCGAATTACCCTTTTTTAATTTCCCATTATCAGGCTTGCAAGGGTAAGTAAAAATGATATTAGCTTGTTATTATTGAGGCATTTTCCCTTCACCAAATCTCTGTGATTGATTACAACACTAATGTGCTTAGATTAGGCAACTTTCATTTTTATACCTACTCAGAAATGTGGTAATGATAGAGAGCCACATAAGAGGAAGAAGAAAACAGAAATTAAGAGCTAAGCAACTTGGAACAGTATTTCACTAACCACATTCAAACCTGACTGGGACACACTGCAGTTTCAGTAGGCATGCTGGCCTGTCTAAACTCCAATTTCTGTTGAGTGATTTAACTCCCTGTTGTGCTACAGGTGATCTGTAATGGGCTTTCTTTAATTTGATTTCATTCCTCATTTAGTTTTGTTACCACCCCTCCAGAAGAATTTCAAACATGCTTCTGAGAATATCCACCAGACAGAGGTCAAATCTCACACAGGACTCTTGAAGTTCAATTATATTAATAATACTCCAAAAAACTGATTTTCATTTGTGAAGTTAACTAATCAGAAGCAGGTGGTATTTTCAGAAAAATATTCACATATATGAATGAGGGTCATTTTCATTCCCTGGAACCAAAGTATGTAACTCCTAGTTATATATTTAGTTCTATTTTATCTTTTGATTTCTCATCCATATACAGTAGCAAAGATGCATGATTCCTGCGATAAGAAAATTCAACAGGATACATGTCCTTTAGGATTCCTGGACCTGAATACTTGCACATTTCTTACATACAGTAGAACTTGTAGGGTACAGTACCTTCAGAAATTTAGTTTCTCCTGAGTAAGGAGTCTTACTGCGTTGTGTTCAGTGTCAGTGCTGCCGAAATATGTAGGAGTTTAGTCCGCAGGGGTATCACAGGATTTGCATGAACCCTACAGGAGTGGAAGTGTTTGTCTGTGCTGATTCATACCCTTCTGTCTTTTGTGTCAGTGCTGTGTCATAGCTACCTGAACATCTTTCTAATGAAAAAAAAAACGAGTCCCAGGACTAGAGCAGTTTAAGAATGTGACACAATTCATTATCTCCCCGATGTGCACAGCCCAATCACTACCCTGTGTGTGAGACTTCATCTGTCGCGGCGGCGAGAGGCAGTTTTCCACGGCCTGGGAGGGCAGCCATGGAGAGTCCATCGTTTCTGGATTCAGGTCACGCCTGCTCCTCAGCTGTGCGTTCAGCGCAGACTCCACTGGGATCGGACCCTTCCCGCATCGTCTCGAGGCACAGTGCGCCGTTCGCTTTAGTAAAAAAACACGTCGGATTCAATTGCTGGAAGTGCAATATAAAACAAAGCAGAAGCATCCTCCCAGCACTTGACCTTGCCCTGTTCGCTTATCGATTTGCTTTCCCTTATTACCCCACAGATTCGCTCTCGCTGAGAAAAAAAAACCTGTTTTAAATGAGTGGTTTGCTTTTGTCATGCCAGGCATTGATTCAGCTCTTGCTGCCATTTCCCCAGATGTAAGAGTCATATTTTCTGACAAGCGTGTTGCACCAGCCAGCTGTTGCCAGGTGTGGAGGCTGGGGCCTGGGGGCTCACTCCAGGAACCTGTTGCACCAGGTGAGTTTCAGGCCCAGAGGAAACCTCCATTCAGAGTCTAGTCTAGTGTGTGAGTGTGTGTTTGTGTCTTTCTGCCCTGCGGTGGACTGCTGTCCCCTCCAGGCTGTGTCCTGCCTTGTGCATGGTACTTGCTGGGATAGGGTCCGGTTCCCCCTGCAGACCCTGAACTGGTCGGAACAGGGATGGCTGGACAGGTAAATTGAACTGCACCTTGAGCGAGAGGAGTTGTCAGAAGGGAAACATTGCTTTCAGGTTCTTTCTCATTCTTTTTCCCCCAAGCACAGTGTTACTCTGAGAGAACCACAGTCAGTCAGACCTATCCAGAAAACATAGGCAGCTTGAAAAAAGATGGATTAACTCAGTCTCTGGAGGGTCTCCATCTGGACCTCTACTGACTCATGTTTAATTAGGTATTTCTCCCTTCAGACTCTTATGTCTAATGTATTTCAAACAATCTATTTCATTCTAATTTGGCAGCCTGACATGCATGCCAGAAGAAAGGTCTTTGTCAACAATGCAGGCCATGCAAAATAATTTGGTTTTTCTTTCTTTCTGGATTATTTTTGTTACCGTAAAACACTGAGTCATTTAATCTAAACAGCTGCTTGCCTTTGAAGCTGTAAATGGAGAATACAGGGAGATCTCACTCAGCTCATTTATTTCTGCTGTTTACCATAATTTAAATATAAGAATGATTATTGATTTTACTCATGGTAATCATGTCATATGGAGTTGCTAAATTTTAAAGAACTTTTGTCTAAAAATCCCTGTTTTAAACATATAAATAGGGAATTACTCAGCTGTATTAGTTGTAATGATTGAGGTTGGGCAATTAACACATTACTTGTCCTCATAATTCTGTAATCATCATTAATAAATGTCTTATTAGTTCTGGTGCAAAGCAATTTAATTCATCTGATCATTAAAATTGTTTTTAAAAAGGATTATAATTCAAGGCTTGCCCCAAATACAAGCTTAGGGATCATTAATAAATGCCTACTCCTTCTCATAAAATAATGTGTAGAACACATACAGCAGCTTATTAACCCTTATACTGCATATACTTTGGAAATCATGGGCATGATGACTGACATTTTACATCATGTGGACTTAGATCATCATAAAATATGAATGCACAGTGTGTGACCCGAACGTATTACCTGCTCATCAGTATTCCTCGCCTCTGCTGTGACAGAGCAGTGTGCTTATTGTTGCAGTTCTTCTCCGGGCGTTATTATTAATTTCTCAATTAGTCCGCAAGACTCCTTTCATGAGGATGTGATGAAGGTGACTGGTACTGACAAAAGGAGCGTGCTGGAGACAGAGGGGGGCTCCCAGCAGCCCGCGGCTCCTCCTGCCCCAGCGTGTGACCTCACTCCCCCACGAAGGGCAGGAGTTCAGGCTGCTGGAGAGGACGTGTGGCTGAGCACACCGAATTCTGCTCAGACTGCGGGACTGGACCGAGGAGTCCAGATGTACTGCAGGTTTAAATAGTGGAGGATTCTGGCATATGTTGGCATGTTCCTTAGCCACCTAAAATTTTAGATTTTACTGAAGATTTCACACATGGTGATGCACTAAAATGTACTGCCCGTAAATACTCTGCTGGCACTTTAAGTATGAGGATGTCCCGCCCTGATCCATCCTGCTGCAGAATGATGGACTTTTCACTGAGGAAAGTGGCCCTGAGTCCAGAAATGGACTGAATGAGCTGTGCAACTAACCACCTGGAGCTTCTGGAAGAAATAGCTTGATTGGTGGATCAATAAAATGCACAAGAAAGCAACCCGGAGAGATGGGCTGAAGGGCCTTTTGTGCCTTTCTTGTGTTGTTAATTAGTAGCATTAGTAGTAATAATAATCATTTGTATAATGTCTGTCATCTCTAAGGATCCGTAAGTACTGCACATATAGGAGGTTATCCACTTCATCTACCACTGTCGTGTAGCCCAGCTAGGTGACAAAGTAGGTGTCACGATTATAGTCCCTCCTCCTTAAGGGTGCTCCAGCCCTTTCACTTAAGACTTCATTCCGTGCACCTGATTCCTATTCCCAGCCCACCTTAAAAGCCAGGCGCTGATGCTCATCCGGGCTCTGCATCTGGTTTCCGTACCGTGCGAGTCCGGGACCTGGAAGCGCCTGGTCCCATTAAGGTTTTAATCTCTGTTCCCGTTCCCGTTCCCGTTCCCTGTCCGCCGGTTCCGACCCGGTTTCTGGTTTTAATTCCGTGTTTTGATGGATCTCTTGGTTTTGGACTTACTCGTGTGTTTTGGATATTCTCTAAGGATTACTCTTTTGGATTGTTCGCCTCGGCCACACCTCCCCCGTGCACCAGCGCACCTTGGACACGCCCCCCTGTTTTCAGCCCCGTTTTCCTGCATGACGTTTCCCTAGTGTTTCCCCACTCCTTCGGATTGTGTCGTCCGCATAGGGTCCGGAAAGAACTGTTCGTTACAGTAAGGCTTCATTTTCCTCAAGGGGCAATTTATTTCCTTCGCTAGCAGCCCCACCTGGGAGACTCATAGCTGTAAGATCAGCCTGGATGGGCGATGGTCAGGGAAGTGGACCCTGTGCAGGAACCAACAGACTAGGGACTACAGGAACAACCAGAAGACTAAATCATCAGGCAAAGTCCAAGAACAGGCTGAAAACAGAAACCAGGAAGGCCCTCTGAGAAAAACCCCAAAAGGCCCAGGAACAGAAACACAGAGGATCCAGGAGAGAAAACAGCAGAAGTAATAAGGACAGGAGCTGGTCAAAAAGCTGGAATGCGACAAGGGTAAGAAACAAGGCAAGAATCAGGAGAAATGGCTACAGTGACCACATGGACAAGTGGCCAAAAAATGAAATATTTATTAAAAATATATTATCTGTCTGCCGCAATACCACAGGAAGTTCATAAATAATAGCAGCATACTGTGATATTGCCACAGCCGGATAAGATATATTTTTCAATAAACAAAAAAGTCATAGCGGGTAAATATAGCCGAAACTCAACAGACACCAGCATGCCGTATTGACAAGAAAAGTATTGCACACTCACTGTATGTCTGGAACCTCAAAGATGGAGCTGGGTCGTACGTTTTATTTGTTTTTAATATAACAATGTTAATTCTTGTGCTGTGTAACTCAGGTTGCTTTCTATTGGCAAGGAACTGTGGCCGTGACTGATTGATATTCCTGTCTTGTTCTTTCAGAGTCAGAAAGTTGATATTTTAATAATGCTCTCCTGCTGCTGTGGCGATGGAGAGCAGACGTCTCAGTGTTCTGCTCCATCTTATTATTGAAAATAATTAGATTACTTTGAAATCGGTGATATTCATTACAGCTTCAAGCCAAGTCTAAACATCATTTTTGCCCATGATAGTTGCAAAATGCATTTTTAAAATAATATCATTGCTTTTGAAAGATTACTTGTTCAGAGTAAGTACTCAAAACAGGCGTGCTTATTTCCTTATTCATTTGAAGGCAATGCGAGATTCATTCATCACTTTGCCAGCCCCTGTATTATATTGTAATCAAGCTGGGAGTCAGCAAAACAAGGTAATAAATATTTTAGGTTTGTGTCAGTGGGCAAAAATCAAATTCGAAATCATATTATTTAAAATTACAGTTTCCACAAATAGTGTCCCACAACAAAAATGCCATAACTCCCATTATATTGTAAATGTGCAAGAAGGAATATTGCCAGTTTGTTTTATTATGGGTCATTTATAAACCAGAATTAAAACATGGTTCTTCTTCATTAAATTGAAGTGTGTAGAATAATAAGTCCAAAATCCTTCCTTCGCTGTTTCATCATCTCAGGATGCAGACAGATCACACACTTGGTGTTCAGCTTTCTGTTGCTTTACCACAGAGCACAGACTTTACGTCTTTATGTCCTCATCTCCCCACGGTCTTGAGATTCTCGCTCCACTGGAATGAGACAATAGTCATGCTGTTGCCCCTGACAAACATGCGGTACGTTTCAGCTTTTATTGAACCAATCAGAAGGAATGATTGCTTGTGATCCAGTCTCCTCACAGCAGTAGCACCCGAACCCTCAGCCTGAAATCAGCCTGGCAGTGACACTCAAACATGCTCAGACACATGCAGCTGCGAGTCTGTGTGCTGAAAACAAGTCTGTGCCAAAGCAGAATCCTGACTGACTCAACAGCAGCTTTGAAAACATAATTTCCTTGCTCGTACCTAATCAGTACAGAGTGTTAGCTTCATTATAACACAGCCGGGCAGATTGTCCAGAACCAGTAACTCCTCATTGTAGAGGCACGCCTCCTGTTTTCCGTCCTGATGCTTGATGCGTGCCCTGGTGTCCTTGCACTGGCTTCCTGTCAGGTTTTGAGTCAACTTCAAAATCCTCCTGCTCCCCTGTAAGGCTGTATGTGTCTTGGCACCTCAGTACCTGTGTGAGCTACTATCGTCCCACTCCCCACCTCGCAACCTTCATTCATCTGAGTCTGGTCTTCTCTATGTGCCTCAATCTAGTTCATATTCTAGGGGTGACAGGGTCTTCGCTGGCTCCACCCCAAAGCTCTGGAATTCTATCCCCAAGTATGACAGAGAGTCACCTACTGTACGCTGAGTGCATTTAAATTTCAAACTCAAAACCTTCTGTTCAGAAAGGCTTTTATTTCATTAGAGTCTGTGTCGCTCCATTTTCTAATGACCTTGTAACTTCTGCTGCACCACTAACTTCTTTTGTCTCTTATATGTGCTTATTCTGTAATTTGCTGTCTTTATAACTGTTTTGTGTTTTTTACACCAACTACATAGAGGTTTGGAAATGCAACATTATTTTGAGTTTTGGGATTTATTTTTCAATGACGTAACTACGATGGACTTGTGTCCTGTCCTTGGTGTGTGTGTGTGTTTCCTGCGATGGACTGGTGTCCTGTCTAGGGTGTATGTGTGCGTGTCCCGTGATGGACTGGTGTCCTGTCCTTGGTGTGTGTGTGTCCCACGATGGACTGGTGTCCTGTCCTTGGTGTGTGT